TAAGTGTAAGTACACATAAAAAACAAAGTTTATATCTTCTTATGTATCAAGAAAGTAAAATAGATCAAAGTTTGGAGACATCAACAGTCATCTTATGGCCGTCAGATGTTACGTCTGGTAATTCCAGGTCTTTTGTTGACTCGCGTTCATTTTTACTAACAATTTTCATATCTCGATTCATACATAAGAATATTTCCTTGAGAAAAATAGTTTTTAATATACATCAACTAAATTTTACTAATTACAAAGTCAATACATGTAATATGTAAAATTACAGTACACATCACTTTAATCAAAATATAATATACAGTGTATTAAACAGAAAGAGGGCAGCAGGAATTTGCAAAAGTAAATTATGCTCCGGTATTTATAGGTAAAAGCTTCACAGATTTTGCGTAGCATGCCATCGTTGGAGATTTCACATGTAGATAAAAAACAAGCAATATGCTCATCCGGAATAATGAATCAATCATCAGAGGAGGACATGGTAAAAATTCGGATAAATTCTAATTTCTAAAATATATCGAAAATAAATTCATGAAAACTACAAATTTGGTTGCTTTGAGTAGTATTGGTGTTTTAACTGACAAAGTTAATGTTTGCTCTTTTATTCATTCAATAATAGAAATCGGGAAATATGAAATATCTTCAAGAATTCTTTTGAAATGAAATGACTTTTTAAAAATTAACATTTGGTAAAGTTAATTAACATGGAAAATGTGACTTTCTAGGCTGACGTTTTAGAAATCATAAATGAGAGATCAAGTTACAAGTCAGAATCTGACGAAGAAGACAACGAAGAAGCTGAGAATTTTGAATATGATCCACAGATGCTCCCGCTAGGAACCAGAGTTAAAAGGGGACCAGACTGGGTCTGGGGAGACCAAGACTGTGCTGGTCCAGGAACTGTTGTTGAGCACAGTGAAATGCGTAAGTTTTTTTTTAAACAAAAAGAATTTTTTAAAACTGTTTCCATAGTAATCCTATTAGATAAGGAAAGTCGTAAAATAGGATTTTTCGTTTAGACTTATAATGATTTAAAAAAGGAAGGCTTGGGCCAAAATAAAAAATACCTTTGTTTCCCCTAACGCGACCGACTGGAAAGTTTTTTCGTAAGATTACTTCAATATTTTTTTTTATGTTTATCAACTTTCATAACATAAAATTTCATCAAAGTCCGTTTTTATCAGAACGACTGATTTTGTTCTGTGATTTTCAAGCGTTTGTTGGATACAAAATGGCGCCCAAAACATGTCTCGGTCATGGAGGGTTAGTTCACGTTTTAAACGAAAGACGACGTATCAACCTTATGCCTTTAGCATATAAGTTTGTATGTTGTTTAACGTCCCTCTCGAGAATTTTTCACTCATATGAGACGCAACCATTTGCCGGTGGAGAGCTGCAAATTTTGTCCTATACTCGGCACTTACGGCCATTGAGCAGTGAGGGATCTTTTTCGTGCCAGCACCTACTGCGACACGGGACCTCGGTTTATACGGTCTCATCCGAAGGACCGGTCTCCACGTCCCACAGTGGGATTCGAACCCGCGACATAAGGATCAACTCCTTACGTCGCGACTCTAGAGCAGACGCTCTAACCACTGCGCCACGCGGGCGACTTTTGCATATAAGAATCCTACACTCTTGAAACACTTTGTTAATAAAATGAAATATACAATAACCTATTAAGCATGTTTCGGTTGTATTTACCAACCTGTCTTAAAATTAAGTACGTACAGAGCATGCTTAGGTCCGTAGGCCCTCCTCATGATACCCCTCATGAGCAGACAAGGGGCCCACCTTGTGAACAAACCAATCTATTTCACTGCATTTTATTTAATTTGAGTTTTGATCTTATAAACAGTTCATCAGTATTCCTATGTTTACTAAATGTATATGGGACCATAAGAGTTGTAAATAAGCCTGCATATTTCATCCTCGTGAATAGAATTCAAACGTCCTTTCATCATGCCTTTTATTCATGGGTATTCAGAAGTTGTATGGTATTCTAGCTGTTTACAAATCGCTTTCTTTTGTACTTAACTTATTTATAAAGGTATCATTTCATTTAAGTTTGAAATGTATTTTCAAAGCTGCTGTCAAAAAAAAAAATTATTTGCCTACCTACCTACCCAACTTGAGATTTTTGGGTCGGGTTAGGGAAACAAAGATATTTTTAATGATGGCCTTGAAAATTGGCAATTATATTTTTTTCCTCTCGTTCTTGGATCACCTGAGTCAGAAGCATCGACAATTGTGTGTGTGTGAGGGTGTGTGAGTGTGCATTTCACCAAACGTCACAAGGTATCCTTGGGAAATTTGGATTTAAATTTAATTAAATTAAGGATCACCCTCTTTCAATAGAGGCTTATCAAGAAATATGGAAAATAGGGTGAGATCATTTAAAAATGTTTTCAAGAACTACCCCAAGAAAAAAAAATTGACACTTTCTTACTGAGTGGAAATTTAAGTTTCTCAAATTACGGTCCTCGGGGATAGTATGACGTGAGGAAAATTAGGGAAATAAAGGAGATGGGTGAACATGACGAGCGATAAGCCTATAGTGTGACAAACATGAAGATGAAAAATTAAATTTCAATTATATCTAAATTTTCCTTGATATTTCGTCTAACATAAAATATACTTTATGTAAAATTTCTACAATTTGCAAAAATCCCGCAAAGATTGAAATTATTTGCCTGTGAAATATTAGACACACAAAAAGCGGGCTAAAAGAGTCATTTTCTCAAACTATAATACTATTTTTCGATTTGAGTGGGTCTTCGCTCCACCTTTTTGAAAGTTAATCTTCAAAGTTTGCATAAAAAAATACATTTTTTGGTTACCAAAAATATGAAGCAATAACCCACTATACATTAAAAATATACTTTTATGACATAACATTCGCAGCTTTTCTAGAAATACTTGAAGTCCATAAAGTCAAGGGTCATATCACAAACATGATTTAAATGCCACACTTCATCAGAACTTGTGTAGTCTATTGGTTAGCGTGCTAGTCTCGAAAGAAAATGATATTCAGGATTTTTATTGCTAGGATTCGAATCACACGAATACCACATTAATTTTTTTAATAAAAGAATAAATTTTGCCGAGAAAATTTTCCTCAGAAAAGTTTTGTTTATCATAATTTCATAAATTTCAATAATGAGAACTTTACTCTAAATACTAAATTCACAAACTGAACATGATTTTTATATATCTGAAGCTATAGGCTTTCTGCAGACTATGTTCGCCCATCTCCTTTAACATTTGTATGACAATTTAACATTTATATGACATAAAAGGAAAAAAATTAATTCATTTTTAGAGAAATCGAATTTCTTTTAATCTAGCATTGGATACCAATGCTTATTAGCATGCTTTGAAATTTGATGATATTTGATATCTAGCAGTGATGGCACACGATTTTACTCTAGGTATTTAATAACAATTGAAGTATTGATTGATTGTGTGTGTGTGTGTGTGTTTATCTAACGTCCCATTCGAGAAATTTTCATATAGAGACGTTAACGTAAACCGGTGAAGGGCTTCAAATTAAGACCTATAAACGGCACTCAGGGCCATTCAGCAGTGAGGGATCTTTATCGTGCCAACGCCTACCGTGACACGGGACCTCGGTTTTTAAGGACTCATCCGAAAGACCTGTGACTTTCTCTTCTAATGCGGAGCTCTTGGCGAAGGAACAGTCACTGCCTATGTTTACGTCTTATGTTTGATGCGGCGCGGCGAACAAGAATCAAACCTAGGCCTCCCGATCACGAAGCGAGCGCCCTACCGCTGCTGTGACCGGTAACAATTTAAGTAAATAGAAGAACTAAAATACTGTATAAGCATAAAAGATGCAATTTTCTACATGTACTAATGCCTTGATACCTATAATATTTTTTTCATCCTAAAATATATTTGTTGGTTAATTTTCATTTAGAAAATGCAAAGCTGGTGCTTTTATTCGCGTTTCACAAAAATATATTTGAATTTTCATAATTTTCCCTATATAATATGATTACTATAACGATGAACTTTGAAGAAATACCATGGGTCAATTCATATTATTCTGTGAAATCAAAGACATTTTTGTGAGCATTTTCAATTACTTAAAAGCTGATTTTCAGAACCTGAGGATCGGACTACCTTAATATACAAGCATCTTAATGCCATGACAGGTCACGGTAGCCTAGTGGTTGGACATTCGCTTCGTGATCGGTAGGCTTGGATTCAATTCTCGTTTGCCATAATTATTCAATGGTTGCTGCTAGGGTTTTCATATTTCACAGGTATATTCCTCGAGACAAGACCTTACTTTGGGTACCAACATATTTGATTTGCATTTGATAAAGTGATACCTTCGGTATAAGTTGTTATACGGAGGCATCAGTGTTTCACAAACACATCTTGTTTATTTAGAAAATTTTTTTTTAAATATTTTCAAGAAAAGCAGGACCACATTTAGTTATGTTATTTTTAAACGTGCAGCCGCCCTTATTTGTGTTGATTGAAATGGCCATAAGAGGAGATCCAAATTTTACATAGATTTGTTGGAGAGACAGCAACAATATAAATGTTTACAAGAACAAAAGTACAATTTTGTACAAGCCTACATAGTTTTGTACCACTCCTGAAGTTGAGCGTTGTGAGCGTTCTTGTTAATCTTTTCAGGTGGCGTGTTACAAGTGAAATGGGACGGGGGAATGAGTCTTCCCTACCGATACGGAAATAATGGATTGTTTGAGAGCTATGACGTGGTTGAATGTGGTGAACCTCGAATATTAAAGGACGACTTAATAGCTGAAGGCTGTATAGTTGAAAGAAGTTTATCTTCCATGCAGTAAAATTATTCTCATTCTATTAATGAATGCACTCAAAAAGTTAAGCTTTCCATGTTCTTTGACTTAGGTGTTTTGAAATGTTCACATGATGATTTTCATTATTATAAAAGACAATTTACTCATTCTTAACAAATTTTCTCTTACTTTGTAAAGGCCCAGACTGGAGGTGGGGAGATCAAGATGGTGGGATAGGAAATCTAGGCGTCGTATATAAAGTCAAACGCAACGCCATTGTTTACGTAAATTAATTTTAGCATTAAATTAGACTTAAGGTATGTCACTAGTGACTGAGTTATATCAATTATATTTTAGATAACTTCTCATATATTACAAATACGAATACAAATATTTTATTGGCACAAACACAATTACAGTAATTGGTAAAGGCCCATACAGAACATAATAATAAGCATAATAATACAGTAGAACACAACTAGAATACAAACAATCGGTGTAACAAATAATGTAGTGTACTCATCCGATACTAAATAATTCATAACAATGTAGTTACTCATTTATAGCTAAAACATTTTTTCTAATATCAGATATTTGAAATAAAAATGAAGATTATATTTTAAGAACCCTTTTACACCTGGTTTTCATCAATGATTTTAACAAATTGTCATTATTATGGATTGTTTGGTTGAAATTAGGGAAAGTATATAATTTTGTTTTGAATATTTTTTCTCTGTGCTTCATATTTCGGACAGAGCAAAATGAAATGTTTTTCATCCTCAATATCAAGGTTTTGACAGACTTTACACAACCTATCATTTTTATTAATTTCAACATATCTACCTTTTTCAATTTCTAAATTATGTGCACTTAACCTAATTTTTGCTACAAAAGATCTATCATGCAGTGACTCTAGTTTGGCAACATAATGTGCACGTTTATTATTAAAACAGAAGTTTCGATAAAATGATAGTTTTGAGGAGTTCATAATACTTGCATTTTGTTCTTGTAATATTTGATCATGAATACGTTGCTTAACAATGCCAAGAACTGGTTCAATGACATATTAAAATTTGTTAAATAAGAAAACCCTAAGTTATTAAGACAACTCCTTAAACACATAGACCATGTGTTATTATGACTCAAAATCGGAGGGTAAGTGTGCATTTTTAGGCCAAAATAAGCTATTTAAATTTTAATCAAAACAAAAAATGGGGGTCAATGCACTTCTTTTGGCGCTACAGAGCATTTAGTTTGACCTTTTTGCACTGTAAAACATCTGACAAATGATTCAATTTTTAAAGTTTTTCTTCCAATATTTTTTATTCAAATAAATTATGGGAACACACTTAGTCTTATTTAATCTTGAATAGATACATTAAAATTTGTGACAACAAAAAATTTTCAAATTACTTGGCATGTTTTATTATTTGACCTTTTTGCACTCAAAAATATCATTTTTCTGGCATTAAGAATTTTAAAGCAATAAAATCATTTGAAAGTAATGACATTTTACTGAATTTAAGAAGAATGGTTAAAAATACCTTATATATTCAGAAAATAAAATAAAAAGTAGGGGTCTGTGATGTTAATTTCTAGATATTACTAAAATAGTGCTAATTTTAAGCAAAGGTTAGGGCTATTTTTTTCTGGATTTTCGCAATATATTTGCTATATTTATCAAATATGATGATAGAATTCATGATACTTTATTTAATATATAATTTAGGACCAGCATGAAACAGTTCACGGCACAGAATAACTCTGTGTGCAGGCTGCATGGAAAAATAGGAATCCAAACTTAACATATTTTAAATACTTCGAAAGAGAAAAAAATGATCATTTTCTTCTAAAAATCCATCCGCCACAAGATATAGTTCATCACTTAATGCTTTTGTTATGGAATTTAATCATGGGGTTTTAACCGAATATCGTTTAATTGGTATTGTAGAATTCAAATTTATTGTAAGAACTAAAACATTATGCAAAATTGTTGAAATATAGGTTAAGACAAAAATATGCTCAGGAGCGAACCTCGTTAAATCAAACAAATGTGTAGATTTGAATAATTTTCTGCTAAATATCCTTCCACCACAAGAAATAGTCCCCCATAAATCTTGTTTTCTTGTTTCTTTACAATTTTGTGAGCAGTTTTTAAATTGAGTATTGTATAATTTGTATTGTTTATTTCAAATGTGTCAAATATGTCATAAAAATTGAATTATAATAAATAATTTTGAATTTAGAGGTTCTGACAAAACTTTTCTCAAAAGCTGACGAGTGACATACCTTAATCAAAAATAAAAAAAAAATAGGGATGTCAATATTTGCTTTACATTGTGAAATTATTGTATTTAACGACGACGGGCCTAATTCATTTCTGCAATAGATTTTTTATTCAAATTTTGATATGAGGTAATGTGACTTTTGGTGAGTTAAAATCAATAAAAGAAATCATATGGTCATCGATGTAGATTTTTAATGGGGAGCGGTTTCAAAAGTTGGCAATGGAATTCGATAATTACTATAGGAAGTAATGGGAAATTGCCAGTTTAGGGTATAAAAGTGATCATTGAAAAAATTCTGCAATAGAATTTTTATTCATATTAAAGGACAATGTTAACGAGACAATTTACCAGCAAATTATGCCAAAAAATAAATGGGTCATCGCCTTACATTTTTCAGGGGGGGGGGGGATGTCAAACTCAGGTGTAGGGCACATTTTGGGGGAAATTTTCAATGAAAATACCTTTGCCAAATAAATCATTTATTTATGAATATAAATCGAAATATTTACAATATTTTTGAATTGAGAGGAAACATTTGAATATCTTTTAAAAGAATTAAAAATGTATATTTTTTATCTTTTGCAATCCATAATAGAGTCAATTTGATTCAAGGCATATGCGCGGTTTTCTGCGCCGTGGCATGAAATTTCGAATTAGATCAGTCGTCCTTAAGGAGTATTTATTATAAACAATATTCTTGATTGTTATATATGTGTATTTTAGGTAAGATGGTCTAATTCTAACAAAAGCAATTACAGATATGGTTATGATGGAAAGTTTGATGTCAGACTATGGTACGTAGATATTGATGTTATATTCATAGAAACAGGGATTTTCTGTGGCCGATAACATTAAACAATTAATACATTCATTCTCTTTCCTTCAAAAAAATATATATACATTTTGATTTGTTATATTTTTCAGTAAGTATATTTCTATTTGTTAGTGACCCATTCGAAACAGATGTAGTCAGAAGGTTCCAGCAACAAAAAAGAGCAGCTGCTGGAAAGCTACCATTTAAAACTGCAAGTGACGTCAACATCAGAAAGGGTAAATCTTAAATTACTGTGACAAGGCTTTACTTTGCGTCGTCTCCTCTTATATCTATTATAGTATTAATGTTGAACGACGGTCATTCCAAAAATACGTAGACTTTTTTCATACTTTTTTATATAACGTCATATTTTGGTAGAAATATTTTAACAATAAATCCAAAAATTGGCATTTTTGAAAAAAAAAAAAAAATCATAAATTTATATAATGATATTATGCCTATAGTCGTATCTCTTATAAACGGCGCTTAAACGAAATAAAATATAAAATCAATAGTTTTAAAAAATAGGTAGTCCTCTTTGAAAAAAGCATTAAAAGATGACGTTGAAGGACGTCATGGAGCAGCGAGTAGTTATCCAATTTTATTTTGCACTAGGTAAACCTCTAAAACAAATTCTGAAAATGTTAGAGGAACCAGGAAATATATCAAAAACGGCCTGTGCATTTGCATATAAATGGCAAAAACACGTCTGCGAGGAACATATTACAGTTAAAAATCTGGTCAAAAGAGTTAATAATGAAAACTACTGTGCGCTTCACAGTTTTGGACCTTTTAAAAGCAGGGTTACGCTGCAAATAATTTGAAAACAATGACAAACTGTTACTCGAATAATTGTGAAGTAAATTAAGGGTCAAGTATTATGTGGACGTTTTTAATGGGTAAGGCGATACAGACCATGTGACAAATGACTATCGAGGGTGAGTATATTTGAGAAACTTTCACTACGTTGTTTTTGACGTCGCATTGTTCTTAGGTGTGCTCCGTGGTGAAGAAACATGTTGGTTTTAGAATCAAACTAGAGGTACTGTGAGCACTGAACTTACAAAATGACACCCCTGCTCCCATATGAATATAATGGAAAAGTCCTCTTTTTGTTATGGGAAACCCCAAATAACTGTCCAGTCAGAACATAAAATAGAAAGAATGGCACTTTAATTTTTGTACTATTGGAGACCTCAAATATCTGTCCGATCAGAACAAAAAAATGGGATGTACAATGGCACTTTGTAATAAAGATTCTGCATATAAAAGTGCCATTTAATTTTGGAGGTCCGTGTTTGCTCTGCTCCTATTTTGTATTGTTTAATGGACTTTTGAGCTTAAATACTGTTCGTTATCTCAATATATTTCACTCAATAGTTTGGGAGGAGTTGCGGATAATAGATGGACACCCCCCATTATCATAGAAACAATAGCAGTGTCCGTGATTTTGCTATGGGAAACCCCAAAATATCTGCCGATCAGAACATAAAATAGAAGGTGCACAATTGCACTTTCTATAATAAAGAATCTGTGAAATAATCAATAAATTTTATTCAGTGGTGTATGAGGAATTGCGGATAAGAAATGTGTACCCCCAAATTGTTACGGACACCTCCATCAAGTTTATACCGCCGCTTTTCACGCGGGGGTGGTTATAATAACATAAGTACCATTCAAAAAGAATGAAAAATAAATGTTTTTACATATAAAATGTGTTAATGTTAAATTTTCTAAAAATAATACGACGAAGAGCGACTTTGTCTACGTATTTTTTTAATGACCCTCGTAATACATATTATAAAACAATTATGTTCCTAACTTACTCGTATCTAGTCATCCACAAAGGAGTTATTTCAGCCATTATATACATAGTTGTACTCTTTTCATTTGTATGTGATTGCAAACACATGCTGCAGAATCGAGTCAGGATGAGACAAACACTACCAACTCCCAACTTTCATCTCCCTCGGCAAAGAGTCAGAGCACAGCTTCTAGACTCAGTAGTCAGAGAGGCAATAATCCACTCTGTAAAACTGAGTACGAGGGAGATGAGCATCATGATGAACTAGAGACCGAGTGTCCTTCAACAGATAAGTGGCAGTTTAAAGGGGAAGACGGTCAGTGGGAAAACTTTCCAGAGGAAATTCATCAGAAAATTGACACAAATTACAGGAAAAACAATAGAGCTACAGTCCTGGTTAACATGAATGATTCTTGGTATGGAAGGTTTCCCTTTGTTTCGTTTTAGAGATGTTCAGCAGCTTCTGGATCTTACATAAGATCTCTTCAGCCATACTATTTTTCAATTTATTATTTTATCTTACAGGTTTAGAATTGTATTATCAAAGATGAAAAAGATTGAAATCGAGACAAGACAAACCACAGATATCAGATTTCTTAAAAGAGAGCATCCATTCCCATGAGTTAATTCAAAGCATACCATGGACATGATCATGAAATAAAGAAATCATTATTGTCTGTAATTTATAGACTACTACAATTTTTTTCTCTGAATTTTGCAGTTAATATGCACGAAGAAAATATAAGATGTACATATTAATAGCTTATGCATTATAAATTATTTTAGAATGCAAAAGTTGATGTTTTCTGTTTTCCGATGATATACATGTATAAAATATGTTCTATGCAAGTTTTAACTTCCTCCTACATTGACCCATGTAAAGGAACTCGATTGAGCTGTCTTCCTTATATTTCTGAAAATTAATATGTTGGTTGTATGCTGTTTAATGTCCTATTCGAGGATTTTTCACTTATATAGACGCGTCCTAATATTTGTGTAATTGGCACTGCGGGCCTTTGAGCAGTGAGGAATCTTTATCGTACCACTGGTTGCCCTAACACGGGGCCTCAGTTTTTAAGGTCTCACCCGAAAGACCCACAATTTTCACTTCAAAGTGCCGAGCGCTTGGCAAAGGAACAGTAGCTGCCTATTTTTTATCGACTTGAGTCAGTCGCAGTCGTGGTTTGAACCCACGACCTTACAATCACGGAGCGAGCGCTCTATCGACTGAGCAACCATTACTACATGTATATATCACAGGTATGAATTTATTTTATGACAAGAATGTAACTCGTCATGTAAAACCCGGTTTAACCATTGGTGACGTATAAGGACATTAAATCATTTTTATAATTTCAGTGATATGGAACGGACATTGATGTGCTTCAGACTCGATAATACAATGATTTTGACGTTAAATATATATATATATATATATATATATATATATATATATATATATATATATATATATATATATATATATATATATATATATATATATATATTTCTATTTATTTATAGACAATACACATGTAGTGACCTTTTGAAAATGACATTGCAGGAGCCAACATATTCACTGTGTAAGCAATATTAATTGTTATACCTTTAAAAAATTGTTCCTATATAAATTAATACTAATAAATTTCTAACATTTCCGATGTTTTACTGAGCGCGCATAAAAAATTCGATTTGACCGCAGAGTGAGATATTGGACCTGTCGATGAGATGTTGGACCGCTTACGTCACATAATGGGTCAGCTAGATCTCATTTGCATTCGTTGGTGGTCGACATGTATGTCAAAAAAAAATAATAGAATAAATAAATAAATAAATATAAGGTATAACAAAACATTTATTGACTGTGTTCTCGGGCAAAATACATTTTGTCGACCCCTCGAACCAAATTGTTTGCCTTCGGCCTAACGGCCTCAGGCAAAGTTTGGTTCTTGGGTTCGACAAAATGCATGTTGCTCTCGAACCCAGTCAATAAATGTATATTGTCATTTGAAGTCAGAAGACTTTTGCTTCGGCTGCGGAGATATTCTAACTCAATAATCTTGACCTTGAATTAAGATCACCAAGACAATTTTTGTTTGGAAAGAATTAGGCCTCTGCATATCGTAAATGAAGCATTTTGGACTCCGGAGACATCAAAATTAAAAACATATATGTTGTGCGTTTGATTGGTAAAGACATTCTCTTCTTCAGCAAAGTGAAACGACTGTTTTTTACGAATCACGAGTTGTCGTTAAAGTTTAAATGTACTCAGGTCTGATTTCCATAATAAGGTGACCATGTAAGAGGATTAGCTAATACACTTTATTTTATAGGTAAGAAAGATTACAGATAAGTTCACTTGTATTAATTTCTGTGTTTTAAATAAGACATAAAATTCAGGCTGAAATGCACATGTACAGAGAAATGACACAATGTTCATAAGAAGTACACAGAGGTGAGAGTTGTGTGGAGAATTCTCCCCAGGCCGTGATTCACATCATGCAGAGGCCGGACAACAAGGTTTTATTAGGATTATTTATTGTTTATTTATCTATCATATTTCTTGAAGTAAAGTGATATTCGTTAATGGTTTCAAAGGAATAATTTCGTATAAATGCATTTTATCACCATTTATCACCATTTTTAAAAAGTGAAAGGTATATTGCGCATCTGCCAATTCATTCGCTCGTGTGCAACTGCTCGTGTTTCCGGAGCGTATAGATATTTATATGAATTAATGACTTGTTATTTTTAATCATGAATTTAAATTGGTCATTTTTTTTTTCATTTGGAAAATGACCGTAAGTTGTGAATCTCGTTTACAGTTGCTTGATATGTTTAGCAAAGTTGGAACATAATTTCGATTTTATGTGTTTTGCTCCATATAGGAGGTACATTTTGTACTGAAAAATTTTTTTTAGGATATATAGAGTGAGAGAGAGAGCATTATTTGGTTTTGCTGGAGAAAAATGCTGAGACATGATTGTATGGTCCGTCATTTATTCCACAATTATTCTCTTACTTTTTGAAAATTTAGGTTCACGTCCAAGAAGTTATCAATGCAGATACAAGAAATATTTATCTTAAAGTTTCCATTCTTAAAATTCTTGAGATTGACACACTGAAGGAAACGTTTACAGCAGATGTGTTCTACCAGGCAAGGTGGAGAGAACCTAAACTGGACGGACACAGGGTATAGTATTTACTTCTGATAGCATCTATTTGTTGACATAAAAGGGGAAGGGGCTTATTACATAATTGCACAGCCCTGCAGATATTTCTAATGAATTTATTTTTGTTTTAATTTGTATGTCCTTGTATACAATGAACAAAGATTGTTTCCACCGGTTAAAGAACTTTATATACATACTGGTATCAGTGATGCACCCGGTGTAATCCGCCTTGGTCTGAACAACTGATTGTCCACTTCCACAATATCAAAACAATAAATTTTTCTTGAAGGGAAGCGATAATATTGACTGGTCTGCATATTGGAATCCAAAAATATTAATTTTAAACGCCATTGCTCAAAAAGACCATGCCAAGTGGTACGTTTTACAGACAGATGAATCAGGAGACACGCATATCGTGGAGAAAAATCGTCTGGTTGCAACTTTTACTGAGAGCATGGAACTGGCCCTCTTTCCATTTGACATACAAGTAAGGATTTGCAAACCGGTATCTCACAACTGAATGTTGAACTTTGCAAAATGCCTTGTTCTAACGATTGTTTTAATGCTTTGTTGAAAGGCACACAAACCTTATATTTGATGTGTGAATTTTCTTAATTTAACAGGATCTAAACCTTTTTATAACAACGGAGCTTTCGGAAGAGGAGGTTAAATTTTTAGAAGACGATCGTGAAATGTCAAGTGTTCATGCGGAGACATTTGCAAAAATACAAGAATGGAACATTTTTGAGTTTGTTCATTTTACCCCAAAGGCATTGACTCAGGAATATGCCAACACTAAGTATAAAAAGCCGGGGATGTATGTGTTCTGCAGCGCCGGAAGGAAGCCCGGATTCTTCGTGTGGAACGTAATTGTGCTCATGGTAGGTAAATCATTTATTAAATTTGAAATGGGTAAGGTGTTCCCCTATAAGCAGTCCGTAAGTGGTTATACATACAAACTTTTAACCCGATTCTTATTTTTCCAAATGTATGTAACCATCTTATTATATCGAAGAATATATCGGAGGGCACATAGTTTTTGGTCTGTCCATCTGTCTAGCTGTCTGTTTGTCTGTTAATCTGTTTGTCCACAAAAACTTTAACCATGCCCTTAACTTCTGAATGGTTGGTGTTAGGGCTTTCATATTTCTTTGGTGCATTTCTTGTAACCTTTCTTTGCGTACCAATATATGTGACCTCTTGACCTTGGAGTTTGACCTACTTTTTTGAAAATTACCAAACTGTAACCTTGGTCATAACTTTTGAACGGTTAGAGCAAGGGATTCTATGTTTCACATGTGCATTCCGTATGTCCAGATCTTTCTTTGGATACTACCATTTTTTTTTACCTTTCCACCTTGACCTTTGAGTTTGACCTACTTTTGAAAAACTTTAACTTTGGCCATAACTTTTGAACCGTGGGTGCTAGGACTTCCACATATAATCCATATGACAAGACTTTCTTTGGGTACCAATATTTTTGATCTCATGACCTTGGAGTTTGACCTACATTTGAAAAAAAAATTAACAATGCATATAACTTTTGAACGGTTGCTGCTAGGGCTTTTATCTTTCACTTATGGATTCCTTGCAACAAGATCTTTCCTTTGGTACCATTATTTATTGTCCTCTTTACATTGACCTTGGAGTATGGCCTACGTTTTTGAAAAACTTTAACCTTGGCCATATTTTCTGATAGGTTGGTACTAGGGCTATTATATTTCATTTGTTTAATCCTTATGACAAGATCTTTCTTTGAGTATCAATTTGTAACCATTGACCTCGGAATTTGACCTACATTTGAAAAACTTTTACCTTGGCCTTGAGTTGCCATATGGGGGCATCAGTGTTTCGCAAACAATTTTGTTTGTAACGATTTCCAAAACAACTTGCAACGGCATGGCAAAATAAATAATAAAAAATGAATAAGTAAATAAACGATACGTACATGCAATTTCAGAATCATCTCCTTAATTGTTAAAAATGCCAAATAAATAACTTGCAAACTTACCTTTAAACTTAAGAAAGATGTCCTTTTGGTCAATATATGGCAGGGTTTGTGTACAAAAGTTTTAAAATATTACAGCTGGAAACTCTGCAAGATGTTGTGTATGGTCCGGTGCTTGATTTTTTTTTCTAATTCTGAAATTGGAATAAGACGAATACAATTTCTTTATGAAAAGACTGCACAAGCGTGACAGGGTGTAATATATTGTGGTTATTTTTTTCATATAGAACTGTATTTGATACCAGAGGCGCTAATTTCACACAGTACATCAGTTCACTATTCAACAAAACAAGTTTTCCATCTTATTCTGAGACCGAAACACCTTATCCTCTGGAGCTCGCAACAAAAAAGCATGCTTTGCTCGGCAGAAACCTTCTTTGTACTTCCTATCTACTTCCTTAATTCATGTTATCTTTCGAAAACTCTGAACACTGGCCATAAAAATACAAGCTTTATCGCTCAAAAGAGAAAGCAGAGCTCTACACTGCTTCCGGTTTAACGACCGCCATGTTTTACGTGTTATTGAATAGTGAAGTAGCCTACTGTATGAAGCAAGCGCCTATACTTAAAAGGTGTTAAATTTGAATGTTCAAACTTAATCTGATTTGTTTGGTTTATTTTTGTTTAGGCTCAGTGGATAAAGATGAGGTGGATAAAGGGTATTTGTTCATTTTCTACACTCAACAGTTCCTTAACCTTGGCGAATTATGCCGTGTGTCGGAGAACATTCCTAAAATAGGTGGAGGAGTGCATAAAGCGTGTTCTTTGTTTTAGTTTATCATAAGCTTCAATGATCTGACGACATTCATCGCGGCTTGGAGTGGAGGAGTGGATAAAATGTGTTCTTTCTGTTTCAGTCTGTATCAGTTCCTTGGATCTGGCGACCTTCGCTGTGGATTGGAGTGGATAAAATGTGTTCTTTCATTTTCGGTCTATTATCAGTTCTCTGGCTCTGGTGACATTCCCTGTGGATTGGAGTGGATAAAATGTGTTCTTTCTATTTCAGTCTATTATCAGTTCTCTGGCTCTGGCGACATTTGCTGTGGCTAGGAGTAAGATCGAGAATCGTCTACAGTTGTCCATCATGCTTGTCCTCATCACGGTCACCTTCAAATTCGTCACCAACCAAGTTATCCCAAAAATATCCTACACCACACATCTGGTAGGTCCACATACGTGCCTAAACTGATGCACCTTCAAGTCAGATCTGCAAAACCTGTGTATGGTCCATTATTTTATCTTTAAAACATATGTTCTAGATTATCTGTATTCGGTGTATTACTTAAGTAAATGCGTCATGATCTATATAATTATGAATTGGGACTTTCACCTTGAACTCTCATATTTTAGTCATATTATGTCATTTGGCAAATGAGATTATACAAGACTACTTGGAAGTGGATGTACCATTATAAAACGATGTTCCTGGAATATCACATACCGTGTGAATCACTCACATATGACCCCAGAGTCAAATTACTAGTATTTGTTCAGTTACAGATCTTGTCTTTGCCACAACCTTTTTATTCGAACTATATCTTAAGGATAATTGGCATAGAAGAATCCTTATATGCCACCAGGACGTTTGTCCTTGAAGTATTCCAAAGGGAGAGACCAGTATACAGTGATGTGCATTAAAATAACATTGTTTTACTTTATTAATAGGATCGGTATATCATTGGCAGTACGATTTTCCTGTACCTAGTGGCAATGTGGCATGCCTTATCGGAGGCTTTGATCTCGGACGCCGACACACTCAGTGACGCTGATCAGTATGCCTTCTTTGCCTTCTGTGGGCTGTATGCCTTCATCCAGTTCATGTTCATGATCATCGTCCTTTTAAGTGTAGGTCAATTGAGCAATAAGAAATGATAATATTAATTATGTATTTACTGTAGCTCTTTCATATTCTTTAATTTTTTAATAAACAGGAAACATAAAGTTTGAAGAATTGCAAAATATCTCTTTATACTACTGGTCACAGTTTTGTATCTGGGTTACCATGATGATTGATGATTGATTATAGACAAATTAGAGTGGGTATATTTTTCTCTTTCAGGGTTCAACGAGACGATATGATATAAACATGAAACTAAAGCAGTACAATGTAAGTTGTAAATTCAGTTGGTACACTTTTAGAATCATGTCAATTCAAAATAATATTATCCTGCAAAAAAGAGAAATTCTACTTTATATTTGTTTGAAATATCAATCACAGGCTAATCCAGCACAGGAGAAGGATTTTTTCCACTACAATTTGAATCACCACCAGCACCAATAAAAATGCTTGGATCCGTTAATGTTTTACCAGAAATTCGTCATGTTTTTGTTTCAGAGGAAGCGTCTTGATGTCATGAAAAGAGGAGAGATCATAAAGACATCAAAGACTAATACAATGTTTAAGAAAGCAACAGAAGAATGTCTGGTGGTGTCCACCTAATAAAGTGACTAGTGGTGTCCACTTGATACAATGACTGTTTGTATCTGCCTAAAACTATGATTTGTGGTGTCCCCCAATACAATGACTGATGGTGTCCACCCAATAAAATGACTGGTGGTGTCCACCCAATACAATGACTGGTGGTACATGTATTTGCCTAAAACAATGACTGTTGGTGTCCACCCAATACACTGACTGATGGTATCCACCCAATACAATGACTAGTGGTACATGTATATGCCTAAAACAATGACTGTTGATGTCCACCCATTACAATGACTGGTGGTATCTGCTTAAACAATGACTGGTGGTGTCCACCCAATACAATGACTGGTGGTCTCTGCCTAATGGTATCTGCCTAAAGCAATGACTGGTGGTGTCCACCTAAGACAATGACTGGTGGTATCTGCCTAAAACAATGACTGTTGGTGTCCACCCAATACACTGACTGATGGTATCCACCCAATACAATGACTAGTGGTACATGTATATGCCTAAAACAATGACTGTTGATGTCCACCCATTACAATGACTGGTGGTCTCTGCCTAATGGTATCTGCCTAAAGCAATGACTGGTGGTGTCCACCTAATACAATGACTGATGGTGTCCACCTAAGACAATGACTGGTGGTATCTGCCTAAAACAATGACTGTTGATGTCCACCCATTACAATGACTGGTGGTCTCTGCCTAATGGTATCTGCCTAAAACAATGACTGGTGGTGTCCACCCAATACAATGACTAGTGGTACCTGCCTAAAACAATGACTGGTAGTGTCCACCCAATACAATGACTGGTGGTATTCACCTAATAAAATGACTGGTTTTTATCTAACCCATACAATGACTAGTAGCATCTGCCTAAAAATGCCTTATGGTGTCCACCCAATACAATGACTAGCGGTATCTGCCTGATTCAAGTCTGAAGAATGACTGGTGCTTGTTATCTGCGGATTACTATATTTAGAATATGTTTGTTAATAATTATTATGCCATCGGGATTCGGGATTCAATAAACATTATTCACCAGTATGCATGTACATTGTTTTAATCAGTGCTGATTTTTATGTTTTTTTATTTTTTAAAATCATTATTTAAAGGAAGCTTGAAATTGAAATCTTTTCGTGCAATAATTTTCAGTTCATGCATCTCAGTATGATTCAAGGCTCTTTGAAGTCTTAGAAACGGTATTGTAAAAAGCTAACATATTTAAGTACCATAAAAGAACAAAAATAAGCACATTTTTAGAGAAATCGAATTTCCTGTAATCTTGCCTTAGATACCAACGCTTATAAGCATGAGATGAAATTTCAAGTGATCTGTGATGCTTGCAATGGTAAACTATATATTATATAACAATTAAAGTAAATCTAAGAACTGAAATACAACTTACAAGTTAAAAAACATGCAATTTTCTCCAAATACCTGGATGCCTATACTATTTTATCCTAGAATATATATATTTTTTTATTTCAAGTGATTTAAAAACAAATGACAAAAGACTTTGATAAAACTCCATTAGAAAAAATTCAAAATTTCATCTTCAAAGACACTTTAGGGGTCCATAATAAAGCTTCTAATTTAGCAGTTAGAGTAGAGTTTGGTGCACTTCCCATTATTTTCAGAATATATAAATTATTATTTAGATACTAGTATTATTACAGATTACAGAAAATTGTTTCAGATCAAGAGAACTCAAACTTGCTTTTACAACATGCATATTTAGAGGAAGAAAAACTTGCAGGAAATGGAAAAACATGTTGGCAAAACTGTATACAAACTATACTTGATGAAGTTATTGGTTCAAATGCTAATACATTATCAATAAATGATTTTGAAAATAATTTGAAAAAATATTTTGAGAATATAGTTTTTAGGGATATAAGACATATCAAAGAAAAAGGTAATGGCAAATTATCATTCTACAGCTAGTTAATAAGTCAAGGAAATCTAAACAAGCTTGAAATTCAACCATACTTAAATTTTTCCATTTCCAAGAATCTTCGTTCTTTTTTGACTCGATTAAGAATAAGTGCCCACAAATTACAGATAGAGGTTGGCAGATATTGTAATCCAATTATACCAAGAGATGAAAGATACTGTATTAATTGTCAAACTGTTGTTGAAGATGAACATCATTTTTTATTTGTATGTCCTCTTTATAAACAACTAAGAAGTGAATTTTGTACACTTTTTAACAATACATGTATATCTTATGAAATTCTCAATCCAGCAGATGTTAAATTAATAAGAAATATTTGTAACTTCATACGTGATGCATTTAATATAAGAAAATCTGTGTGACTATATATTTGTTTACTGTATGTACATGTACGACTTCTGCCACATGTGGTTTTTGTCAAATTAAATAAAATAAAAAAAAAATTTTAAAAAATAATAAAATGTATAACTGGTGCTTTTATTCGCGTTTCCTGAAAATATATCTGAGTTTGATAATTTTCTCTTTATAATATGATTAAGATTACTCAAATTCATGGATAAATACACAAATTACTCTATGAATTCAGAGACATTTTTGTGAGCAATTTCAATTACTTAACAGCTGCTTTTGAGAATTTGGGGATCGGACTACCTTACGTCAAAATTTGTACGTTGTCGCAAGGTATTCTTATAGGAAACAAATAAAATTTGAAATGCTATTAAAAAATCCTTTCGTTATGATAAATCTAATTTCAAGTATCTGCAAGTATTTATAATAAATATTCATTATTTGAATGAATCAAATTCTTACTTGGGTCTAAGAATGTGGCGTAGGAGTCTGTCTCAGTCAGGTGACCATTTGTCTCAGTCAGGTGACCATTTGTCTGAGTCAGATGACCATTTGTCTCATTCAGGTGACCATTTGTTTCAGTCATGTGACATTTGTCTCAGTCAGATGACCATTTCCCAGTCAGATGACCATTTGTCTCAATCAGGTGACCATTTGTCTCAGTCATGTGACCATTTGTCGAAGTCAGGTGACCATTTGTCTCAGTCAGATGACCATTTGTCTCAGTCAGATGACCATTTGTCTCAGTCAGGTGACCATTTGTCTCAATCAGGTGACCATTTGTCTCAGTCAGGTGACCATTTGTCGAAGTCAGGTGACCTTTGTCGAAGTCAGATGACCATTTGTCGAAGTCCGATGACCATCTGTCTCAGTCAGGTGACCATTTGTCTCAGTCAGGTGACCATTTGTCTCAGTCAGGTAACCATTTACCTTAGACTGGTCCTCTCCTGTCCGTCGTGCATTTTATTATTTAAATTTATTTGTGCATTCTAGAGTTTATTTAAAACAAAATATAATTTTGTTGTTAAAATTAAGGAATTACTGTCTAGTTTGTTGGGTATGCCAGTTGGAAACGTGGGATAATTTGCATAACGGGCGAAGCCCATTATGCATAAATTTCTCCCACGTTTCCAACTAGACAGTGATTCCTTATACGAGGGTTGTCCCAAAATTCCGTAGACAGAGCTCATATCTTTAAGGAGGCTGGGGTCAACAAATTAACTATCAGATATAACTTAATTTTTAAGATATGATATCTTAAGCTGTCAACTATCAATTGGCAAACCAAAATTTCATACATTTTAGTTTTAAAATTTGATCATTTTTGTATATCTTTATATGGAGCTCTTCTTTTAAAGGAGATCAATAAAGTCTGAAAATGGCCACAACCACCCAGCCCTCTTAACAAAATTAAACGTATCTCTCTAAAATTTTCTGGGTGGATGAAGTATGTTATTGGTTGGTAAATTTCTAAGTTTTAACACTTAACTTTCAAAGAGTTATAATCTGAGAGTAAACAATTAGAGATGTAAATATTTGGTTGTAAACTGTTTATATAAACTTGAATTTCACCCCAAACTCGCGAGGTCAAGATCACTGGAAGTAAAGTATGACATCTGTGATCGTGCAATATAATTAGGTTGTATATGTGACATAAATATTACATGACATAATTATTATGTCCTCGAAAGCAAATGTACACTGAACTCGTCTATTTTTTAGTGTCTATAGGCCCATGCATTGGCCCATTGCTACCGTATATTTGGGCATAATTTCATTGCGGAGTAAATAGCAACAATATGAAAATCACCGAAAATAATTGATAAAATATTATAAAAGGAGAAGAAATCAACAAATATTTAAGATCCCGGTGTTTTTTTCCGGAAAATGCAAAGCTACGTTGTAGAAATTTTCTTTTTCTTTCACTCCTCAACATCCTGTGTGATTGCAGACGATAAAAACAACAGATAAAGTATGTTACTAACAGGCTTGCATATGTTTTTGTCAAGGAAAAGACTAAATTGGTAAATTTGGCAGGTTTAAATCTTGTGACTAGTTTCCGCGCGTCACTACTCTCAATGATATGGAAGGTGCTGGGATATCATCTAACGTTACACATAATTCCTGCGGTGTTAGCACTTCATCCATCCAGTCGTCTCTCCGAAAGGCGCCGTCGTACAGAGCTGCTAAATTAGACCCATTATCACCATTACATTTTCAAGGTCAGCGCGGTCAGTATGATCCATATTCATACAAGGAATCTCAGTCAAAGTTGGCGACAAAACTGTCCAAAAATTCTACTCTGCCAATAAACGTCGGCAACAGTCCACGACAGCAGATTTCTAACACAAGCACACAGATCTTCAGCCTCAACAGGTATTTTTTAAACTAAAAGCAGAATCATTTATTGTTTAAAATTTTGACAAAATTAAATTGTCATATTCAAAATGGAACACTTATAGTTTCCCTAAATATAAATGAGTGCAAAGTCAAGCGAAAATGTAGGCCCAGCGTCAAACTGATTGAAAATGAAATCATTTAATGATAAATGACAAATACGTAAATTTAAAAAAAGAAAAAAAAAACAAAAAAACCAAGAAGGTAAAAAAAAAAAAATCTAAGAAAGTCTTATCATAATACTTTCCTGACCAATAGGAAAATTATAGAAGAGGGGCATATCTGTAAATCTATCCAATGTTTTGCTGAAGTAATCAAAAGTAAATTCATATTTTAAAAAAAGTCATGATATCGTAAGCATTTTTCATGCACTTTAATAGATCATTAGTTCACATAGATAATGAAAAGAATCATACAAAAAACATGAACAATCTTTAGAATTTTATTATCATGAGGTCAGGAAATGCAGCATACACTCTGAAAATGTGCGTAAACATCTGTACTAATTCTTTTTTGCCTCAGTAAATGTCATTATCACGATTTAATTCACTTTCTCTTTCTTCAAGGTAGAAAAATGCACTATGATTTAGATAAAATGCACTAAAATTTATCATTCTGACAAGAGTTGTGCCCCCTTTCTACAGCAATTTTCATAGAAAATTTATGTAGCCAAAAAAAAATGCTTTCCTCTCATCCGATTTTGTAAGATTTTTACTAAATTTATTTGTGCATTCTAGAGTTTATTTAAAACAAAATATAATTTTGTTGTACTAAGTTTGGTGTTTAGTGATGGGTTAATAAACATTTGTAGAAAATTTCGTTATAGCTCTGAAAGTTTAGCATGTGTGTAGAATATGCCATGGAACTTCAAACACGGAGCGGCTCTACTGGTGTCCCATTATTACTGTGATTCTAACTCTGTTTCTGGTTGTAGCAGTTACTGGGGCTGCTAATGATACGATTGTAGCATGATACTGTTTATTAACTCTGTTTCTCGTTGTAGCACGCTACTGTGATCCTAACTCTGTTTCTTGTAGCTCTGTCATTGTGATCCTAACTCTGTTTCTCGTTGTAGCACAGTTACTGAAACCCTAACTCTGTTTCTCGTTGTTACGGGTTGTAATACGCTACTGTGATCCTAACTTTGTTTCTTGTAGCTCTGTCACTGTGATCCTAACTCAGTTTCACGTTGTAGCACAGTTGCGGTGATTCACGTTGTAGCACAGTTGCGGTTATCCTAACTCTGTTTCACGTTATTTCTCTGTTACTGTGATCCTAACTCTGTTTCTTGTAGCTCTGTCACTGTGATCCTAATTCTGTTTCATGTTGTACATAGCATAGTTGCGGTTATCCAAACTCTGTTTCACGTTATTTCTCTGTTACTGTGATCCTAACTCTGTTTCTTGTGGCTCTGTCACTGTGATCCTAATTCTGTTTCACGTTATACATAGCACAGTTGCGGTTATCCTAACTCTGTTTCACGTTATTTCTCTGTTACTGTGATCCTAACTCTGTTTCTTGTAGTTCTGTCACTGTGATCCTAATTCTGTTTCATGTTGTACATAGCATAGTTGCGGTTATCCAAACTCTGTTTCACGTTATTTCTCTGTTACTGTGATCCTAACTCTGTTTCTTGTAGCTCTGTCACTGTGATCCTAATTCTGTTTCACGTTATACATAGCACAGTTGCGGTTATCCTAACTCTGTTTCACGTTATTTCTCTGTTACTGTGATCCTAACTCTGTTTCTTGTGGCTCTGTCACTGTGATCCTAATTCTGTTTCACGTTATACATAGCACAGTTGCGGTTATCCTAACTCTGTTTCACGTTATTTCTCTGTTACTGTGATCCTAACTCTGTTTCTTGTAGCTCTGTCACTGTGATCCTAATTCTGTTTCATGTTGTACATAGCATAGTTGCGGTTATCCAAACTCTGTTTCACGTTATTTCTCTGTTACTGTGATCCTAACTCTGTTTCTTGTAGCTCTGTCACTGTGATCCTAATTCTGTTTCACGTTATACATAGCACAGTTGCGGTTATCCTAACTCTGTTTCACGTTATTTCTCTGTTACTGTGATCCTAACTCTGTTTCTTGTAGCTCTGTCACTGTGATCCTAATTCTGTTTCACGTTGTACATAGCACAGTTGCGGTGATCCAAACTCTGTTTCACGTTATTTCTCTGTTACTGTGATCCTAACTCTGTTTCACGTTATAGCTCTGTTACTGTGATCCAAACTCTGTTTCACGTTATAGCTCTGTTACGGTGATCCTAACTCTGTTTCACGTTATTTCTCTGTTACTGTGATCCTAACTCTGTTTCACGTTATTTCTCTGTTACTGTGATCCTAACTCTGTTTCACGTTATTTCTCTGTTACTGTGATCCAAACTCTGTTTCACGTTATTTCTCTGTTACTGTGATCCTAACTCTGTTTCACGTTATTTCTCTGTTACTGTGATCCTAACTCTGTTTCACGTTATAGCTCTGTTACTGTGATCCTAACTCTGTTTCACGTTATTTCTCTGTTACGGTGATCCTAACTCTGTTTCACGTTATTTCTCTGTTACGGTTATCCTAACTCTGTTTCACGTTATTTCTCTGTTACTGTGATCCAAACTCTGTTTCACGTTATTTCTCTGTTACTGTGATCCTAACTCTGTTTCACGTTATAGCTCTGTTACTGTGATCCAAACTCTGTTTCACGTTATAGCTCTGTTACGGTGATCCTAACTCTGTTTCACGTTATTTCTCTGTTACTGTGATCCAAACTCTGTTTCACGTTATTTCTCTGTTACTGTGATCCTAACTCTGTTTCACGTTATTTCTCTGTTACTGTGATCCAAACTCTGTTTCACGTTATTTCTCTGTTACTGTGATCCTAACTCTGTTTCACGTTATTTCTCTGTTACTGTGATCCTAACTCTGTTTCACGTTATAGCTCTGTTACTGTGATCCTAACTCTGTTTCACGTAATTTCTCTGTTACGGTGATCCTAACTCTGTTTCACGTTATTTCTCTGTTACGGTTATCCTAACTCTGTTTCACGTTATTTCTCTGTTACTGTGATCCTAACTCTGTTTCACGTTATAGCTCTGTTACTGTGATCCTAACTCTGTTTCACGTTATTTCTCTGTTACGGTGATCCTAACTCTGTTTCACGTTATAGCTCTGTTACTGTGATCCAAACTCTGTTTCTCCTGTTTCTCGTTGTTGCAAAGTTACTGTAATCCTAATTCTGTTTCTCGTTGTAGCTCAGTGAGTGAGCCTGTATGTAGGATATGTCATGGGACGTCAAACACAGAGCAGCTTATGTCCCTCTGTTACTGCGCGGGGTCTATTGGTCTGATGCACGTGTCCTGTCTACAGAGATGGTTAGGTTCCTCTGATAAGACCCAGTGTGAGCTTTGTCATTTCAATTTTGCCATGGAGAGGAAACCCAAACCATTTTACATGGTAAGTAAAGTTTGAATTTCTGCTGTTAATACCGGTATGTTTGTGTACATTCATTTTCGTTATTCGTAATTCTAGTTTTCAGTTCAGAGTGAGACACTTCTAAAGAAAGCAATTAAGATAATAGAATAAGAAATTAACTAGTTTGACAAAAAAAGTAGCATCAGTCTTATGTGGACTTCTGTATCTAACTTTTCAGTATTTATCTAATCCTGGAACTAAGGGAGACAGATACCGCCTTGTGTTTGATATAGTATGCTTGTGTCTTTTGTCACCTTCCACGTTAACTGTGGTGTCTCTGTGTATCTACGGCGCATCCCTTTACCGCCCCTACAGAGCGGAATTTGTGGGCCTTTTAGCCCTCGGCATACTCCTATTAGTTTTGTTTACCGTCTGGTTGATGGTATGTTTCACAAGTGATTCTGAAAATTCATTTAATGTGATTTCAATATCAGAATTACATGCTTTCTTTTTCTGGAATATTAACAGATATGCCTACGAATGAACATAAAGAAATGGAAAGAATGGAAACAGTTTAACCAAAGAGTAAAACTGAAATGCAGTCCACCAAAGGACGACAACAGATGTACCCAAAGATCCTCAGAGGTAGGCTTACAGACCACAGGTAAAACATCACAGATGGGGGTGAAGATAAGCAGTATAGAAATCAAAGTGACAACCCATGGTGAAGACAACAAACCTTTCGCAGCCTCTGATGATTTCCAACGGAAGAAACCGCCTGAAAAACGAGGCATGGCGTCTGTTTTACGACCCATTCCACCTATCTCCTATAACTCACAATATTGTCGCACGGATAGTTCAGTTGTCCCTGAGACTAGACAGAGCCCTGCCAGGTCAGGCGAAATCTCTAGAGAACAGTGTTCCGGGAACTACATTTCATCCTCATCCTCATCCAGGGAGAGTGCTTCATTAGGGCAGCACAAACGTAGGGTGACCCCTGTATACCATGGTGTACATCATAGCCGGTACTTAAGGACATCTTCTACAGAGGAATCACGATTTCCCGAATCTCTGTACAGTTCCTCGTCACGAGAAAATGGCAGTCAGATATCTAGCACACCTTACAATATGTCAGACACACGGGCCAGATTATCATTCCCAGTACAGGAAGTAAAAGCCCCTGGATTACATGACTTTAATTCGACTATTGTTTATCCTGAGGAAAGGTACATCTAAGTTACTGAGAAATACTTCTGTACCAAAATACTCATTCACCTCTGCATGTTGTTTGTTTTATGGTAGTGTGTTTGTTAGCGCAAATAGATAATTAAATTATGTAAAGGATTTGTTGTATGTTTTTGTTCATGCCCCTGTAATCGGGAATTTGGGGGTGTATAGTCTATTTGTCCGCAAAAACTTTAATCTTGGCCATAACTTTTGAACGGTTGGTGCTAGAGCCTTCATATTTTAACATTTTTGACCTCGTGACTTGGAGTTTTACCTATTTTGAAAAACTTTTATCTTGGACATAACTTTTGAACGGTTGATATCGGGGCTTTCATAAAACATATGAGTATTCCTTGTGACAAGACCTTTCTTTGGATACCACTATTCTGACCTCTTGACTTGGACTTGACTTACTTTGAAAAACTTTAACCTTGACCATATTACAGGGCTCGAATTGGCGACTAAATTAGTCGCCATGGCGCCTAAAATTTTTGATTGGCGCCTAAAAATTTTCAATAAGTCGCCAAATTGGCGACCATTTTAAATTGATTGTCGATCGTCGAATTCCGAAAATTTTCACATTTTTAACAATTTTTCTAAAAAAGCAAAAGGAAATTTAAAACTAGAGGAAATTATTTTTAGCAATGGACATGTCGTGCTTTCTTAGGCACGTCATGGGTCCCTATATTCTATTTACTCTATTTATTCTATTTACTTTTAAAGTTAGCGCCTCAGAAAAGTTGCCTGGCGACTAAAAATTTGCATTGGCGACTAAATTTTTTTATAAGGCGCCAGCTGGCGCCTAAATTTTAGAGGCCACTTAGAGGCCTTTAAGTTATGTCACTCGTGATATGAGTGATTTCAGATAACTATTCACATAGCATGACTCAAAATCGCAAAGAAAATTGGGGGTTGGTGTGAGCAACGGTACAATGAACTTGACCTTTGTGCATATTAATTGTAGCTTTTAGGCTAATCACTTTAACCTTTATCATATTTTACCAAATGTAAAAATGGCAATAAATATAATCTTATTTTATGTACAATAGTTTGAGTAACATTTATTTTGGGGGAAAAAATCCTGCAAATTAATGCTCGTAAAGTATCGTGTGACCTGACCTTTTTGGCACTAAAAGATTATCGAATTTGGGGTACTGAAAATAGAGATGGGCAGTAAAATAAGTTCTTCATGTATCAAGCTTTTTTATGACTTTAGTGCTGACCGGATGAATATATCTTGTAATTTAAAATAATAAAAGAAAAAGTTGGGGTCAGTGATGTAAATTTTGAGATATTGGTCAAAATATGGGATTTTTAGGCCAAAACAATGTACATTTTATCTTGACTTCTTAAATATATCTTCATTGTTTGGCAAAGTCTCTTGTGTAAATGCTTCAAATTTGTTTTAAAAATATAACTTGAAACCTATATTTAATACTCCTAGCAAATAATAACGAAAAAAATTCTCTGAGTAAAAATATGTAGAATTTAGTTAATTTCCAAGATATTAAATCTAACAAATGTGTAGAATTGAAGAATTTTCTTCTAAATATCCTTCCACCATAAAAATAGTCCCCTATAAATCTTGTTTCTTTACAATTTTGTGAGCATTTTTAAATAGAATATTGTGTAATTTGCATTGTTTAACTCAAGTAAGTCATAAAAATTAAATTATAATAAATGATTTTGAAGTTTGAGGTTCTGACAAAACTTTTCTCAAAATTAAGCTGACGAGTGACATACCTAAGAAGGCCTGGGTTCGATTCTCCTTCGTCGCGCCGCGTCAAACCTAAGACGTAAACATTAGTAGTGGCTGTTCCTTCGCCAAGCGCCCGGTATTAAAAGTGAAAGTCACTGGTCTTGGCATGATAAAGACCCCTCACTGCTCTATATAGCCCTGAGTACCAAGTATTAGTCTAAATTTGAAGCCCTTCACCGGTATATAGTAACCTGTCTATATGAGTGAAAAATTCTCGAATGGGACATACATTTTACTAAAAGAAACATACAATCAATCTTTGTGACCTTTCTTTGGGTACCACCATTTTTGACCTTGAAGTTTGAGCTGCTTTTGAAATGGTACTAATCTTGGCCTTAAGCTACCATATGGGGGCTCAATGTTTCACAGATACGTTGTCAGTTCTTAAAATAAACGAATGGGGATTAACAAAAGCTGTGTAGCTTTCAGTTCTGCAAGTCAAAAATCATTCTATATAAAGTCGAACTATTTATATGAAATATCCTATTTGTAGATTACAACAATAACAAAAGATTGCTTCACATGAAGTTACTAATGACGAGGATCAAGTACGTTATGCGATACCTGCAAACATGTCTGCTAGGATTGGGACGATACTTTTTCTATATCGATGCACATATGGATCACGATATTTGAGCCACGAAACGATATGTATCATATGTTTAATTGATTATAAATTTTCTTTTGTATTGAAATGAACAATGAACAAAACATTTTCTTCGCAAATAAGAAACATAGGTAATCGGAGATTACAGAGCTCACCTCAACGAATGTTGTCTTTAAGTAAGGCAAAGTCCCACACTAAAGTAATAATCTAGTAGTGTGCATCCCCAGATGCAACATTTATGCAATTTTGGTCTGATAGAGCTTGCAGTTATTTGGGAATAGACTTATTTAAAAACTTTAAACTAGTCACTCATCCAGAAAATGTAAATTAAATCCAGCACCTGAAGCAAGTTTGAGAGTGTTCGTCCCTTGATGCATCATCCATGCAAGTTTGGTCAACATAGGGCTTATAGTTACTTGGAAATGAGATCTGCTCCAAAAACTTTAACCTGGTCACTCATCCGGAAAATTTAGGTCAGATCCAGCATCTGAAGCATCCAGCATCCTTAGATGCATCATCCATGCAAGTTTAGTCAATATAGAGCTTATAGTTACTTAGAAATGAGGGTCTTCTCCAAAAACCTCAAACCTGGTCACTCATCCGGAAAATATAGGTCAGATCCAGCATCTGTAGCAAGTCCAGTAGTGTGCATTCTTAGGTGTATCAACAATGCAGATTTGGTCAATATAGGACTTATAGTTACTTGGAAATGAGATCTGCTCCAAAAACTTTAACCTAGTTACTCATCCAGAAAATGTAGGTCAGATTCAGCATCCAAAGCAAGTTCAGTAGTGTGCAACCTTAGATGTATCATCCATGCAAGTTTGGTCAATATAGGGCCTATAGTTACTTGGAAATAAGATCTGCTCCAAAACCATTAACTTGGTCACTCATCCGGAAAATAAAGGTCAGATTCAGCATCTGAAGCAAGTCCAGTAGTGTACATCCTTAGGTGTATCAACCATGCAAGTTTGGTCAATATGGGGCCTATAGTTACTTGGAAATGAGACCTGCTCCAAATACTTTAACCTACTCCAAAAACATTAACCTGCTCCAAAACATTTACCTTTAGCTGAAATTGCAGCATCTGAAACCTTGACTGGTACAATGAAACACAATAGAAGCTTCCCCTATGCATCTCTGATTAATATTGGGCATAGAAGTACTTGAAAACTGCTCCAAAAACCTTGACCTGGGAAGCCGCGACACTGACGGTATTACATAAGCTCCCCAAACTTCGTTGAGGCGAGCTAAAAATATATCCGAAGAAGTTGTATATCTATTGTAGAACAAAATTATTTTACACAAGTTGTGTTAATTATTATGCATTTCATATTCAGTATTTTATATCTTATATCCAAAATGTTAAATAAAGAAAAACATGTCAGAATTTTTTTTTTTTTTGCAATATTTCTTCATACATCCTCACACAGAATATATATTTCATCCCAACCCTAATGTCTGCTTCATTTTTGATGTCTATGTACTATCTCATTTCTACCATACATCTATAATGTTGATCTAACAAGAAGTCGGGATTTGTCTGTAATCGATAGAAGCCGAAAATCAAGTCCAGATTTTTTTTTTAATTTTCAGAATGAACCACATACTTTATAATAACGTGATGACTTCAACTTTTTCTATACGACAATCAACTTCCACTGATTAATTATCACCTGCATATACAGTCTGACTCCCAGTTGATTTGATACACAAGAGCATGTTCTACATTTACGTCCAACAATTTCTAAAACTAGGCAGGCCATTGAAAAACAAATTGATGTCAGATACAAAATATGAACAATCTCGTTTTAAGTCAACGTTTTGCAAATTCTGAGGTCGATACAATGACCTTGTTTGCAAATACAATCTATTGTTAGGTCAAAGGTAGACATTTTTCATACAAATTTTTAGGCCATCATATTCAATGAATTGTCTACGATTTTTTTTATCCTATCAGGACAAGGGCAGGTGTGACCAGTCAACAAGGGATGCTTACTCCTCCATCGCACCTGATCCCACCCCCGTTTGCAGAGATCCATTGTTGGCTATGCTCTCAGTTCCACTTATTGTTTAAATGGACTTTTAGAAGGATGACTGTTCATTATCTTCACATTTCATCCTTAACTCTTCCAAATTTGACCATTGCAGAAAACATCTATTCATGTCCAATATTCTTTTCGCTACTTATTCCAATTTCTTGACCAGATAACATCATAAATGAGAAGACAAAAACCAGTGAACAATAATTTATTTAATCCCTCATCATCATTTTCTGTCTTTTTAGTTTCTTTTGAGAAACCTTCTTCTTCACTGGTTCATCATCAGTGGTACCTGGGCGTGGCACGGCTTGTTCACGCTCGGCCAGGATCAACTCAATGTGGCAGGGACTGCTCATGTAAGCTGAAATTACAAAGAAAAGGGCATATATATATATATATATATATATATATTTATTACATCCAGTAAAGATGTTCCAAGAAAAGTATTCTGTCATCGATCAGTAAACCTGTTAAAACCAGTTTTCCGAGCCTCCTATATAGATTTCTTATGCAGTGTGCTTTTCAATCACGCATACATACTATACAATTATGGACTCTTTCGGTGGTGAATATGGTTTGTTATTCACCAGAAAATATCAATATTGACCGAGGCGAAGCCAAGGTCAATATTGATATTTTTCTGGTGAATAACAAATCATATTCACCACCGAAAGAGCCCATAATTGTTTTATTATATAGTCAGGATTTGAATGAATAAGACATTGAAGGCTGCTTGACGACTCCATTTTCATTAACGAACTTCTGTCGTAGAAAATTTTTTAAAAATGTCCAGATTATAACTTATAACTTCCATGTTTTCCTTTTGCTGAGTGTAAGACATCGAAATGTTTGGAAAATAATCATACGAGAAATTTGCCTAGAAGTTTTCCTGCTCAGACATACAGCATATACAGCTGGCTGCGGCCGTTGCAACTATTGTTTTCAACGTTGTTTTAGGTATTGATTGTGACGTCACAATGCCGCTGCACGCGCACCAACCCTCCGGTGAATATGGCTTCAAATCCAGTGAATACCATATGTAGTATTATGAACTGTTTGCATTTGTATAGATTATATAGGGACTATCTATAGACTATATAATAAAATGATTTACATATCAATAATACAACTTACTTTTTATGATTATTTATCAGACAAAAATGAATAAATGTCTTCTTTCTTAGTATGAAATTGATGGTTGCTCTAAGTATTGCAGAAAAACCTTACGAAGGTTATGTATTTTTCTGTAACACTTGCAAAGAACAAACATTCAAACAAAGAAAACATTTTATTCTTCAAAATATTCATTTGCAATTTACATCATTCTATTGCTTGAAATAATATGTGACTTAACATGTAGGGTCACTTTGCATGCTAAAATAACGTTGTAAACCTTGTATTTCTAACAGAACAATTCATTAACAGTCTGCATGAGAAAGAAAGGTATATATTGTTACTGTAGTGTTAAAAGGACAGGTAATCATGATAAAATCCACCTGTGACGTCACTCATTTGTTTGAGCGCTCCATTATTTTTCAGGAATCGAGAGTTGAAATTACATTAAAAACAGAATTTGTTACGTTCATATTCTCCTAACCATACCTCTACCGATAAAAGGACTTAGAAAATTTTAACAAGTTTATTTTCACATATAGAAAATGAAAGAAAAAGTGAGCAAGCTCACATACCCCACGCTCCCCCAAAACTCGACAATGCAACATGTACTGAATGGCACAGTGTATTTTAAATACACAGTATAATTCAATAAGGGGCATTACTTGCAAAAAATTATCACATCAAAACTTCTTGCATATATAAGGACATTCAAATCTTTGTATGTTACAAATTTAATTGGGCTGAAGTTTCTAGATAAATAATGGAATCAAAATTTCTTGGTAATATACAAATCTGTACATTATGTCTGAAATACCTACAAAGTTTCAGGAAATTCAGTGCTGGAGTTATGCTGACAAACTGTTATTTAAATTCGTCAGTGATTTCGATTTGTTAATGAAGAGTGTAAGTCCATGTTCAACACATGACAACTTACACATTTAAATAATTGATGGAAACAAAATTATGATGTAGTCATATGAATTTGTTTATATACTGTACTTATGAAATTATTTAAGGCAAAGCACCAATTTGAGGGGGGGGGGGGGGGGGGAGAACTATCCAAGATTCAAGATTTTGTGTGTGTGTTAAATCATTAATATTTTGATCTCAAAATCAATAGGGGTCTTTTAAGGTCATAAAATATTTCACATAAAATGTCATTACAAAGGCTGATTCCAGTGGATTTCCTTATTACCTAGCTGGAAATTTTCTTCAATAATAGGCAAAACTCTTAGGGCAAAAATAATGGAATCGGAATTTCCTGGTAATATGCAAATCTACACACTGTGTCCTAAATATCTGCAAAGTTTGACGAAATTCTGTGCAGCGGTTTAGGAGGAGTTGCGCTGACAAACTGTTCATCTCTATATTCAAAAATATATGGCCAAAAATCTAAGTTGAAAAGTGCCAAAATTCCCAGAAAAAATAAAGGAATCGGAATTTCCTTGTAATATGCACATCTACACATTGTATCCTAAATATCTGCAAAGTTTGACGAAATTCTGTGCAGCGGTTTAGGAGGAGTTGTGCTGACAAAAAAAACAGGACTGACGGACTGACTGACTGACTGACGGATGGGTCAAAAACATTATACCCCCCGCAACTAGTTGCGTGGGGTATAATAAATGTGGCACTGCTGAGAATCGCACCCAGTACTCTCACCTTCGGAGTCAGGTACTCATCTTACAACGCTATCCAAGCTGTTGAATGACAGTGGATTTAAATAACTTCAGCTAGCAGTACACTTTTTTAGCCTTACTTTCTCTCTATATATAAATACTACTATATGTTAAATGTACATGTATATTTACAGTGTATCTTATAAATATTTTTTATTATATATTAACAAACAATAATTACAAGCATTTAAAAAGGTGGATTTTACGCGGGTAAATATACTCATAGCACTCCATTCCTTAAAAGCAATGGGCCTCGGCCCCTTTGGGGTCTCGGCTCCATTACTTTTAAGGAATGGAGCGCTACTCGTACATTAACCCTTTCGTAATTTTGACTACTCTGTGTTTTTACTGGTGCAACATCATGGGTTGGTCTATAACATGCTACTTTCGTTTACCCTAGTTTTCAGAAAGTCCCCTAATGCTATCAATAAATGCAACTAAATTTGCTAGGAAAATTAAATGCTGCATTGTGTACAATGCTATACAGTGTACTTACAATTGATTAAAAGATACACTGAGTACTTTTGAATGATTCCAAGCTACACTGTCTTCTTACAATTGATTCAATGCTACACTGTGTACTTACGATTGATTCAATACTACACTGTATACTACAATTGATTCAATACTACACTGTATACTACAATTGATTCAATGCTTCACTGTGTACTTACAATGATTAAATGCTACAGTGTGTACTTTTGATTAATTCAATGCTACACTGTATACTTACAACTGATTCAATGCTACACTGTGTACTTAACTATTCAATGCTACACTGTGTACTTTCGATTAATTCAATGCTACGCTGTGTACTTACAATTGATTCAATGCTACACTGTGTACTTACAACTGATTCAATGCTACACTGTGTACTTACAACTGATTCAATGCTACACTGTATACTACAATTGATTCAATGCTTCACTGTGTACTTACAATGATTAAATGCTTCACTGTGTACTTACAATGATTAAATGCTTCACTCTGTACTTACAATGATTAAATGCTACACTGTATACTTCAATTGATTCAATGCTTCACTGTGTACTTACGATTGATGCGACCGTGAGCACGATAAGTCCTCCTCCTCATTTTGGGTGCAGCGTTCACCATAATGTGTTCAATGACCAAGTGATCGGTATCCAATCCCTGACAAAAAAAAAATTTAACATTTAGAGATTATGAAATTAATTGAATAATTACTTCATATCGATATTTCATTCATATTACTGACTTTCAGTGTTACATTAAGCATCAGCAAGCATCAGATAAGTTTATAATCAGGAATCAGAATTACGTCCCATTCATATTTATCATCATCTTGGTGCTGATCAACAAAACTGTTAATTACTCAAGCTTATACATACACGTGAAAAATACCATTTTCTAGCAATCAAGAACAAGATAGACTTTGTTTGCAAGAAATGAATTGCAATAAGATTTTCTTATGCCAAAATGCTCTCAAAGTAATCCTGTTTACTGCCAAATGAATCTTAAATGAAAATGTGATCAAAACTTGAATAGTCTACACTTACAGTGATGGGTTTCATGCAAAAAATTCGCTTGGAGTATAATTTTAGTACATATCAGTATACCCATTTTTTAGAAGACAAACTACATGTACCCCATTTTTCTCAACAGATTTGTACTCTATGGAAGCAAGTTGATATCAAAAATCAATTTATATACTAGAGTGATATTAAACCACGTCTTTCAAAATCAGCCGGTACTTAGTTCTTTTACCTAGCTGAAATCAGGATTGTACCAGCCAAAATATTTGTTTGAGAAAAACTCGATAACATATCAAATTAAAATTGCTTCCACATGGTACCTTCTATTTTTGTAAAACATACATGTTAACCTACTGTGATGAAAAAGAGGGGGATTCAGACCTCAAAAAAGGTAGCACTGTGCATGCTGTTTTATGCATCAAAGAAGATATATCTACAGTGTTCCCCCATTTTACCGCCAACATTTGTACCTCAGCAATTTTTGCATTATACAGGAGTGGCATTAAAACTGCAATTAAGCACTTGAAAGCAGAAGACATTACCCTTCATTGTTATTAAATCTTTTATATTTTTTGCAACACGTTTAATTTCAAAAATATTTATTCATTGTTGATTGTAATTATTTTATTTTTTAATAGTAACAAAACGTCTGTTATTTTCTGATGTAATGTTCTTAGAAACCAAATATCGAATCACTTATCAAAACTTTGTCCATATCTGGCGTCTATGTGGACCTGGTATTCACTATTTTTTACACATAGGAAACTTGTGTTCTATGTAAGAACAACAATTTCTGTTTGTAAACACACCATGGCTTAATTATCATAATCTCGTGAATTTTACCCACCAATAGGGATAAGCTTTACTCCACTGCATGACACCTGTGAAATTGATATTTGATTGTGAAGAACACTACTTAAATTTGTATGTCAATTAAGTCTGGTAAACATGGTTAAATTGTTTAAATATCCATTATTAGCTTTATAATGACATAAATGTTTGTCATTTAATTTTACGAAAATGTGGACCTACCAATCCAATAGTCAAAAAACAAACCAAAAAGTCCCCTTATTGGTGGTAATTATCGGGGGTGATAATAACTGTAATTGTCGAATTTGTACCTGAAATACTTTGGCTGATGGCGATAGGTGGGGGATGGCAATAAAATGGGGTTTTGTACAGCAAGGAAGTCAGGTATTTGATTTTTTTGGCAGTAAGAGGGGGTGGCTTTATAACGGGGAATTATAACGGAGGAGAGCTGTAAGGAAATACTGCCTAAATGGACCACTGCAAGAATTAAATATCAACTGCAATGAAGAAGCCAAAAACATCTTTAACACAAACTAGAAAACCGACCAGTCAGCAAGGGCCCCGCCGAGGGGTAGAAATATAAGGGTACAGCTTACAGAATGAGAATTTTAATTGATTACAAAAATTTAGAAATATATGAAGAAGAATATGCAATAACAACTGTTTTTATAAAAATTTCAAGATAATTCTTAAATATCCAACAACCTGTAAAGAGTATCCCTGTATTTACATAAGGCAGTAAAAAACATCATATCTATAATAACTCAATTAAATGTATATTTAAACAAGAATAAAGCATGTGTTTTATAAAATGCCAGCCTCCAGTGAATACAAATATCACCCAGGCTTGACCTTAACTTCAAAACAAACATCAGTTGCAGACAAAGGTTAATTTATCTTAAAGTGACAAATAAAGATAAGCCTGGAAAATTTTCTGCCCAAGACAAGATAATTAATCCCAAGGGATTAATTGTATTGCTCTCTCATACTTTTCTTCCAAGTTTACAATGAGAACTCTTTCAGTAATGACAGAATGAGTTTATTATTGGACTACCCGTTAAAATTAATAGTATTCTTGAATTTACATATGGCAGCCAAAAAAAAAAAAAGAATAAAAAAAAAAAACAAACAAACAAACAAACAAAAAAACATATCTTTATGTATATCTTGTTTTTAGAATTCAATAAAATCATAACTCATTGTATATTTTACCAATATAAAGTATGAACATTATTTAAATCCACATTTCAGAGAATGTAAACATCATTCAGAATTGACCTTAACTTCAAAACAAACTTCATTTGCAGACAGAGGTGTTAATCTCAATTTGACAGAAACAGATAATGCTTTGGATTTTCTTAAAGAGGAAAGTTAATTAATCCCATGGGACTAGTTGCAGCTTTCACAGTTTACAATAGGAACATTCTCAGCAGTTATCTCTCTTTGCCCTGGCATTCATTCTAATGTAAAGTAAAGGAATCTACCCCACCACCCCAGCTCCAAACTGGATGACATAGACAACCAAACTTAGCATCAAAATATGTCTTACTGCCTCTTCAACCAACATACCAAATTTGAACTTAATTGGTCAACTACAAAAAAAGTTATGAGAAAAAAACAGAAAATTTGTGGACGGAAGAATGACAGACGGACAGACATAATTATATCTCCCTTTTTCTTGGCATGGATGTCGACGAAATTTATTGTAACCAATGTAATCATGGAGATTTGTGCACCTGTCATAGTCAAATACATGCTAGAATATGTGTAAACATCGGATAAAAAACATTTGAATGTTTGAATGTTCAAGTCATGCGATATCTAATGAGATATTATGACGAATGGCTTCAAAAATGGCTACCCAACCAAGCAACGAAAAATGGATTTTGTAGAAAAGCAGTACGTGGGAGATGAAGTAAAAAAAAGCGGTAGACATCTGCCTAAATGGTAAAGTTAACATGTATGGTAAAAGTAACACCTTCTTGTAATCTTGCAAACACAGAGCAAATGTCAAATTCTTGTTTTGATACACTCTGCATTCATTTACTCAAAGGGTTTTGCAAAATCACATCCTATTTGACATTTTGAGTTTTGCTAAAAAAATACACACATAAACATGTACAGGTCGTTTAACCAAAATACTGAGTAAATGTTTGTAAATATTGAGGTTTATCCCCCTTGCTTTTCCTGTACAATCCCTAGAACTCCATTTTTTTTATGATATAAGTTACTGGTATCAATATACTTTATATCTAATGATTCTTCAGAAAAATTTTCAAAATAATCATATTAAGCTTTAGACACCTTTAGCCCCCCCCCCCCCCCCCCCCATATATAACCAGTGAATACTTAACTTGCCCAAAAACTTGCTATGCATATCGAGACTAAGTTTAGAGTTTTATATTTTAAGTATTTTGTATTCATTTAAAATTTAGAAAGTTGTAAGTCCTCTTAAAGTTGTCAGTCCAGGTGTGTGGGGGGTGACTAAAATTCTGCACTGCTACAAAAATTTCTCATTTATTGTTTTGAAATTAGAGACCTTGATGTTTTTGATGTTAAGACTTTTTAAATTTATTTTTCCTTATTTCTAACAAAAACTTCCTTTCCTGATAGATTATGTCAGCAAGCATCAGATAAATGTACAATCAGGAATCAGAATTACGTCCCATTGAGTTATCATCATACGAATGCTGATCAACTGAACCAGTAGAAATAGGACATTTGAACTTGAATCCATACTGCCATTATAAAGTTTTACTTTATCTTTCCTCAACCCGTGGTTCTACAAAGGATAAATTTTAATAAACCCACTCTATTTTTAAGACACAAAGTTGTAAACAGTTAACAGTAATAGACAACACACAAGCTTTGATCAGAAAATTTCTTATATTTTTGTCTTGAGTACACAAAACATCTTTTCCAGTTGATTTTATTTTAAACATTTTTCATGTATTATAAAAATGTGTAGGCACATGAGATAGCTGTAGGCACATGAGATAGATGTAAGCACAATTTTATTCTGCAATCAATACCTGCATCACCTCAACTATCTTTTCAAAGCAGTCTGTTTATTTGACCTAGTAACCTGTACGAGATGATTACCTTGTACTCTGCATTACTTTCAGCATTCTTTAAAAGTTGCAATAGAAATTCAGCACTCTTCTTTGGCCAACGACCTTGGGGATGTTTGAAGGCTTTAGCCTTAAAAAACAAGGAAAAGGAACTTAGACAAGCAGTGGTCAAAATTAACACAAGACAGAATCCAGAGAAAATATGTCTGCTCTGTAGCAAGAGGAATATTTTATAACCAACATAACTGTGGAGTGAACACAGCCTTCAAATGAAATCGGTTATATGTTTTACTCAACACTTCTCACACACGAGAGTAAAAATCAGTGACTAAATTGGAACGTGATTAATCATGATGACGTTCATGTGCTTCACCTTGGTAACATTTAATGCACTGAAAATTTCAGAAATTGAATCACAAAGAGAATATAAATTTAAATTGTGAAAAAAAAAGGATCGAATAAAACATTAATATTAGATTTGTTCTTGGTCCTTAGGAAATCAGTCAGGTCTCAAATTTTAAACTGTGGAAAACCAATTATTTATACTATAGAAAAGCTTACTACTCTGGAGCAGAAAATTCTGACCAGGAGTAACAATATATTACTAACTATAATATAGATATAAATACTAATTAGTGGTCATTTAACGGTGAGGTAACCATGTTCACATTTGGCAAAAGTAAGGTCAACAAGGTCAGAGACAGAAATGTCTTTGGAGAAAACAAATATCAGAACATACTGATGAAAAAGATTTGATTTACTTTATGACACCATTTTAAGATAACAGACCACTTATTGTTAAATTTTTTTTTTAAACAATTTCATAAAATCATGTACATTCCTTGCAACATTATAGTGCACAAAATTTAACTCTAAATCTCATAACAAATTTTTGTCTTTATTTTCTCCATAATTTTGATGTTCAAAAGAAAAATTTCCCACCTGCAGTTCCCGCTAAACCTGTAATTGTAACAATTCCAAGTAATGCCTTTACACATTTCAAAGATTTGTTTGACCCTTTGACAGAATGTCATGTGGGTTATTACAGATAAAAGTGCATGAAATGCATTATAAATATTTATGTTAATAACTTAACATGTCCCTGCATCACACTGTACAAAAATGCACTACAGGTGGCGAAATACCATACCATAAGAAATAAAAGAAGAAATATGTGTGATCTTGTTCCTGCCTACCTGAGCACAGCGGCCAACTCCACCACTGAATCTGCGGAAAGGAACCACTTCCTTTTTAGCCATTACATTCTTAAGATATTTTGTTGCTCTCTTCACATGCATACGTTTGATGGCTTGTGCCGTTTCCCTTGTGTTCTAAATCATGTAAAATCAGTGTTATATTATACAATGCATCAACTCTTTCTCCTTAATAATATAACTAGTGTTTAATCTTGAACACTACAAAAATAAAATTCCTGCCATTTCCTCACCTTGAAATGAACACGAAGGTAGGATCCCCTAGCCTTGGCCGCTGGAACGTAAGAACAATTGTCACAATTAATACTCCAAATTTTCTTAACTTATTTCAAGGAAAGTATTGTCTTGTAGAAAATTACTCACATTTTGTTGGGTTATCTGGTTCTGTGGCGTATCGAACCATTTTTCACTCCCTAAAGAAAACAAGGTGATTGATCATCAAAGCATACAACACTTCCCTTATAGAGTAACTATTATGCTAAAAGAGAATTTTTTTCTCTTTACTGTAACAGTGAGTGGAGCAAAGAGCCACTTGCACTGCAAGCTCTAACAACAACGCCTGAATGAAGAGAAAATTCCGACATTTGCACATTGATCGAAACAAATTTTTTCCCAGCAGTAACCTCTGCACCCACATTTTTTTGCAAATTGCGTCTAGCCGCAAACTATGTTTTCGCGGTAACAAAAGTTCAACCAAGAAAAAAAAACACACCTTATTTAAAGGATATTGCAGATAAATAGTAGATTAATCATCCCTTTTAAAAATTAGCACTGTTCAGGCTTCGGTTTGGTAATGCAACTTACATACAACATAATGTGACATCAGTCTATAGACATTGCCAAATGTCACATGCAGTTTGAAGAGACGGATCTAAACAAAAACTGAATAGGTATCTGTGCTCGCTCTAACGATGGCACTGTCAACATATTAAGCATTATTGCATGATGGGATTTTCACAGTTCATTTAATAAATGGATTGCCTGTATCATTTTTAGCACTTCAAGAATATCCCCACTGGAATGTTTTGTTGTTTTTTTTTAGATACTGTACAGAGTAACTTTCCCTTTTATTGTGACAGTTACTCTACAAGGACAGTGTGCCCAACCTGTTTAACTCTGTATTTTAATACATTTTCAATTAAACATAGGGGAACTTCATCTATGTGACAATGTGTTGAAGCAATGCATTTTGACAACTGTAACACCAGTCCACAACTAGCATGATGATAATACAGTCAGTCTCTCCTCGCAAATCAACAGAAGGAAATGAAACAGTTCATGTCCTCGGACTTGTAACATATATTCAATTTATAAGTATTTTTATAAAAATTCCTTGTAGCCGTGTATAGCCGTGTAAAATTGAGAAATCGCATTTCAACACCAATACAAGGGTTTCAATCAGGTGGGTATGATGAGAATTTCAGTTCTATGCCAACACAGATGCAGCCAATATCACTAAGTAGTTTACTGAGTTAAAGATAATGAATTTCAGAAAAGTATAATTTAATCAAAAATCGTATCTGTTCATTAAATGCGTGAGATAGAAGCAGATTTCTTGGTGAGTATTTAGAATCATGATTGTGTACCCTAAAAATGGCCGGAAAAGGAAGTAGTCTATTTTACAGAAAGCGAAGTTCACTGGGTTTTTTCCGGATTGATAAACGCCAGAAAGAATTTTGGCATAAAATGCCAAGATCTGTAATACTTCCATGCCTTTTTTGGCATACTATACTGTCTAGTGTGCTAAAAAGGCATAGAAGTAAAACAGACCGGAACAAACTCTGCGTTGCCAAAGTGCTGTTATCTGCGAATACTCAGTAGGCATGTAGTCTCGGGGAAAAGGGGGGGGGTAATACATGTAGTATGCACGTAGTGTCAGCAATACACAAAATAAAAGGATGGGAAAATACGTTTTTTTAATTACGATGCTTCACTGAAAAAAATCTCAAATTTGGCCACGTCCGAGTTTCTAGATCTGTTATATATACATATGTTCTTACTGAGCACAAAGTACTAAAATCTTTTCGAACTGATGTTTATACATAAATAGAAAACTATTTTGATGATGTTTGAAAATTTTATTTTTTGTTAACCAATCATAATTAATTTAGCACAAGAAACACATTGTCAAATGATATATAGATATCACAATGTTGTTTTATATAAAGATAAAAGCACTATTTTCTCCTATATTTCTGAACTCATCACAAACATGCAAAGGTGCGAAGGTCTGATCGGTTGGCACTTTCGCTAAATGACAAAAATTTCTTCACAAGTCTTTTTTTCATTTTCCTCGTCATCACAATCTCTTTAGTAACTCTTCTAGGACACTCTGCGCTTTTAATTTCTTTTGTAAACAATTTCTTCTTGGACTTGGTCTTTAATGAAGCATTTCCGGGCCGCTGGTCGAGGCTTGTTGACGTGAGGTCGATCCTTGTACTCGTGCGGAACATTCCCGTTGACCTGCGGCGATGCTCATGTGACGTACTTGAATGGACTTCCCGAGTCAAATTGATACTTTTTCCACACCCGGAGTCCTCTGATGTTCCGGATGAGTGGATCATGGTGGAAGAGAGGATCATTGTGGAGGAGGCCACAGGAGGGGTTCTTAGACGACTGCGCTTGCTTCTGCTGCTGAGTAATGTAGATGATGCGAGTGGTGGACTGAAATTGAAATTGTCGATGGCAGTTATGTAGGGCAGAGAATCCTGCTCGCAGCCAACGACGATCCTCGAAATGGTGGGATCATCTATAGTTTGAAGCGGGAAGCTAGAAGTTTCAGTATTCGAACACCCTTCGACATGACGTAGCCCCTCTTCCGGCTTCACTTCAATGACGTCTTCTGTTTCACAATGTTGACACATTTTTCAAATCAGTCTGAAGGAAAACAGAAAAAAATATTATGAGAATAAATATACATATACGCCTGTATAAACCATAATTATTATCAGAAAGTTTTACTTAAATAAAAGGAGGATTTAATTACAATAAACCATTGTTATAAAAATAATTACAACTATATATAAACCATTTTAACACCAATATATATTACAGAAAAAGATGAATAAGTGACTGTCTTAAAGAACAACTATATGATAATAAAATTTGAAATGGAAAAGAGCTTACCGTTTGAAATCAACGATACAATATTCTTTGATATAGGTATCTGAAATATGTATTTGTTCTCAATGCTATGAATTTTATTGTCTCTCGTCCATTTTTTCTTCTTTATATACAATGAAAGAAGTCTCCAAGAAGGTCTACAATTTTTCTGCTCATCTTGAAACTGTAATTTAGAGAACAGACATGCGTCTAGTACACCATGGAGATTGAGAGAGACGATAATAAGACTGCAATTATCTGTATTAATTGTTTAATACCGATTTTACCCACTGAAATCGAGCTGGGACCTTATTATGGCACAATTAAAAAATCAAACTAATGAAAATATAATTGTTTTTAAAAGGATCATTAATGTTATCGCTTGAAATGCTACATACCCGTAATATTTAAAAGGTGGTAAATGAAAATAAAACAAACATTTTCCCTCTCACTCTAATTTTTTATGCAGCTATAAAAAAACAGAGTTTTCATTCATGCAACATAAATACAAAAAAAATAATGTTCACAAAATTAGAAGTTTATTAATTATTTGGTAAATGAAAGATGTGCTGGAGGGGCAGACAACTCAAATCGGAAATGTTTGGTTTACATTGAATGTGTTAGCATTTTAAGTACGTCACTTCCGGTTATATTATGAGAATAAAAATTAGGAGCCGATATGTCAAAATGTTAGTGTAGGTGCGCTTTTATCCGCTCTTTACCACATTCCTGTTTAAATGAACATTTTTAGATAAAAGTGAGTTTTCCTACCACATCAAAGATGAAGAAGAACATGAAAGGACTTACTCTCCCGGGCGGAGAAAATACGACCCCGCCAGCCCCTGGCCCTGCTGCAGGGGACCAACTCGAGTATGTATTTTACACTATTACATATCATAAACTGGTATACTTTCACGTTGTCTAGTAGTAGGGAAAAATCAAGGTGGCATCGTACATATGCCTCAAGTCGCTGTTACTATCAGTGGCCTTGAGGTGATTGACCATGCCACAGGATTTTTAATATTGCGATCTAGATCTTTACTTAGTCTTTTCTACATTTGCACATATATCAGTTATATATAATAAAATTTCGTTTGGATTAAATTTTATTGAAATTTAGTGTTGAGTTAGTGTTTATAACAACTTAATTATTGTTAATCAGGTTGGGACCAATTGCCAAATGGGATATAATGGCCCCTTTGGGATATGATATCCCAAATGGGATATAAATTTACAGTGCAAAAAATGAAAAAATCATTTTAGCTTTAAATGTTGTAAATATGCATAAACATGAATTGCATGCAGTGCCTTTGGGCAAGCAAGTTTTTATACAACCCTACAGTGTGTGAGATTGATCCCCAAGAAATATAGGATCTTCCAAGGGATCAGTCTCCTAACCAGTGGGGATACAGAAAAACATGTGAACCAAAAATATTAATTTTTAAGTAATTTGATGAACATTTAAAGGCTGATTAAAAAATTCTCTTTTAGCATTGTAAATTTATATTATATTTGGAATATGATCAGGGCTCGACATTAACGCTTGTCCGCTTGTCCGGCACCAGTGAAAAAAAAATACGGACAAGTGAATATTGCTGGGCACTTGTCCGATTGGACAAGTGCATTTTTATGTAAAGAAGACTCTAAATATTTAAAAGAACGACTGTTAAAAGTTTACCGGTATTTTAAGACAGAAACAGTACATAAAAACCTGACTTCGATCCCTGTATAGATTGCTAATATGTAATTGAGTACACTCGATCGGGATTGAAGTTCACTAATTGCATACTACTGCAAAGGCATCGAACTGACGAAGTTCGGATTCTGTTTTATGTTGACAGCATTTATGTTGTCAGGACAGAAAGTCTAGATAAAATTTTGTGTTATGTGTTCGTTGTATTTGTAAATAACATCATGCACATGTAATGTACTTTATTTTTAGTTTTTTAGTTCACAGTATTAGATCTTTATTGAAAATTTTTCGGACAAGTGAAGTTGAAGTTCGGACAAGGAAATGTCTTGGTCACTTGTCCGAATGGACAAGTAGGAAAAAAAGTTAATGTCGAGCCCTGATGATATCATAGATAGGCTATTATATCCCATTTGGACAATTGATCCAAACATGTTCATGCTGCAGGTGTACATATATACATGTAGTGATGTACAGAGCCTATGCCTTCAACCAAAGGCCCCCAAATCTTTTACTATCTACATTAAAGAAATTTTCCACCAGGAATGCAAATATCAAGATTATTGTACATTAATCTGTCTCCAAAAGTTCTTAAAAGTTAAAACATTTCGGAATCACCTACATCAGGAATTATACATCCATCAAAAATGAAAATTGGAATAATCTAGACTTTTATGATTGTAATATGGCACTGTAAATTTAATATTTATATATTAATATACTATGGAAGTGAGAACTCGTATGAATAAAATTTTCTTTTTGTATCTTTTACTCCATTAAACAAATTTCTTCTTGACCTATTAGTTAGGTAGTAGTATTTAAAGTGATTGCACTGACATTGTTTATTCAGTAAAGAAACTTTTGCTAATCTGTCTTCATATTATGTGTTTTATAATGTATAGTAAAGACCCATACTGAATGCTGCAACTAGCTGAAGTGTGTGTACTCTAACCACATGTCTGAAGCTGTAATTTTATATTGTGATACAAAAAGACTTATCACGAATAGTATTGTGATTTTTGAAATACAGATCTTTTCTCTCTATTCTTAAAAGGAAGACTATCTATCACGATGTGTAAGGAGAAATTGGGTGTAATAATATATCAGTATATGGTGATACACAAAAAAATTGAACCCTATTGTAATACAAATACCATATACCTAATGTCACAATATATAAGCAATTTGTGTTATCTCTTCTGTTTTACCTAATAAAAGTGATTTTGTTCATTTACTTTTGTTGTGTTAGAGCTTAATCATGAAATGTTACATTATGTCTTTTTGAACTTGATGAAATGAAATGATCTACTACAGTCAAACCTTGTTGTCTGAAACTCAATAGGACTAAGAAAATACTTTTTAGATATCCAAGGATTTGTGATATCAAGGTTAAAATACATAGAGAAGAAGGGGTTTAGGACTTCCAAATCACTTTGACATATCTGTGGTATTCAAGATACCAGTGTTTGAGATACTGAAGTTAAACTATACTTCTATCACTTCACATGTAATAGAAAGTTACTCATACAAATTAAATTAAAAATATAAAATGTGAAATATCATGATATGTATCCAGGGATTAATCTAGGGCATGTTTACTACTGATATTCAGTATTTTTCCCCAAGAGAAAATTTCCCCTGAATATCCCATTTTCCCTTTAGATGAGTAAAAAATTCCCCTTACAATATTAAAAAGCTCAAATATTTTTTTCCTTCATAAAAACTGGAAATTTAAAGTAAAAATTTTCAGAAAATGTGAAATATGGTTTTACTTTAATATTTTATGCACTTTAAATGGTCATAAAAATGCTGCAATTCAATTGGGCTCCCAGCAGGGCTTGCCCTGCACCCACTGGGCTCTGGAGTGGCACCTCCCCAGAACCCCGGCAGATTTTCCCAATTTCTCCAGAAAGGGTAGTTTCCCCCAAAACCTAGATTAATCCCTGGTATCATGATACAGTCCCAGTATATCAAGATACGTACACCACATTACGCTTTAGCTGTATTGTTATACTGCTAATTATGCTAATAAATGTTGTACAGTAGATTATTTGTTCAAGTATCAAAATTTTATATTTTTAACACTGAAACAAAGTTACTGTAATAAATGGAAATGATAATGTAAGTTTATAAAGCAGCTTTCAGTAAGAATGAAATAAATTAATGCAATGTACTCACACTTGTCAGATCTTTGTAAATTAACAATTAAGAGTCTCACAAGTGATTCATTTTTATAGTAAATACATGCAGAATGAGATAGCTACATCTTTTGTTAGAATCCATTAGAAATAGAATGATATAAAATGCAGAAAATGAACCATGCAAGTGGTAAATGATGTACAATATGATATATACATAAGCAGGAGGTTTAAACAAATACCTAGCAATCCAACTTAATTCATAAATGGGAATTCAGTAACAAATAAGGAAATTCATTGAAAGAGACTAATGAGTGATATAAGACATGATTGCTGGACGTACAAGTCATACTATTTACAATTTTACAGTAAACCCAACAATGAGATCAGTGGAATCGACCTACAGGATTTACAACAAAGAGTGAAAGAAATGGACATCAATGAGCAACAAAGAGAAAGACTTGAAACATTCCTGACTCAGAAACAACAAGTGGGAGAGCTGACCCAGGAAAATGACTTTGAGAAGCTTGGGGAACTTGGGGCAGGAAATGGGGGTGTTGTCATGAAGGTCATTCACAAACCCTCTGGGATTATTATGGCCAGAAAGGTATTCCAAAACCAGCATTTCATGAGAAAAAAAATGCAGTTTTCCCTACCTGGTAATGTTTATATGTATGCATAAATAAAATATTTTGAAATCATTTTAGAGGGTTTAATAGTATATATTGCATTCATTCTTCAGTATGAAATGAAGAATGACTGAAATGCTTTCAGAGGTAAACCCCCCCTCGACACCCACGTACACACGCACAAAATGGGGGTGTGGGTGTGGGGTTACAAAGAAAAAAGAATTATGCATATCCCAGTTGACATGAGGTTAAAGTTGGCTAAATTAGTGATTGTTGATCAAACTCAAACAAGCACCAACACAACAACAAACCTAAATTATGATAACGAATGATTCAGTATGGTGACTAGTGTTAAGCATAGTATTAATATCTGAAGAACAATTGTTGTACAGCAGACTTTCATATGCAGTCAATATTGAAGTATACACCCTGCAGTTGCTGCTATTGATTGGTTAATCTTCAGTTTTATTATGCCTATGTTGACAGTACTAATTAGTGTGTTACAATTACATTAACACAGGCTTTGTTCAGTGTGCTACATTATTTATATAGGAAGCATGTGCAGCTCTTTCTTTGAGTGTACAGATTGTCAAAATATTGAGCTATATCCTCAATACCCAAGCTACTTCTCTGAAAATCAATGCTTCCATATTTAGGTTTTTCCTTATTACAGGTCTAGAATAGAAATCTAATAAAAGCTCAGTGAGGTCTTATAATGTACAGTCACATTCGCATAGGCTACCTATCATTGATTGTCTGATTAGAAGAATTTTAAAAAATTATGTTCCCTCATTCAGATGGCATTTAAATCTGTAAGCCCACGATTACATATTTTAAATGCCATATAGATTTTTAGCATGTGTGGAGGATGTTGACCTCCTACATATTGCTTAAATTACATAGATATGTCACCGAATTGTAAACATGTCAAAGTGTTTATGTATTGTGGACGTTTAGAAACTATAGCTCTGGTTGAAGGAAGTTGATAAACCCTGATACAGTTTGAGATATAAAAGACAATAAGTGACATAGTATTTAATGGGGAATTCCCATCCTGACAAGAAAAAACAATGTATTTTTAGGAAATAGAACTCCTCCACCACTTACCACTATACATGACCTTCAACACTTGAAGTTGCATGATTTGAAATATGTGTGTCATTGATTTGACTAAATTTGACCTAATGTCTGAAATACATATGTGATCATTGAATATGCCTGAAGTACATTGTAGCTCAGATTACCATAAAAGGTGCTTGTGCACACAAAAAATATTCCTCAGTCAAATGTATGTGTATTGTGTTAGCTAGCATTCTACTTTTTTGAATCAGAACACTTGAAGATGTACATACATGTACTATCAAGCAGATAGACAGTATAATGCATGAGAAATACTAAGTAGAAAATGTTCACTCATGTACCAGGATGTTTATGCATTTTTAAATGAGTAAATCTTGAGTATTAAACCTCTTCATTTGTACACTTAATACAGAAAATATTCATGTTTGTATTGACCTTTTAATACCTGGTAAACACACTAATGCAGTACATATGATATTGTAAGGTTAACTTTTCTTTGTAAATATTTCAGCTAATCCATTTAGAAATCAAGCCAGCTGTCCGCAAGCAGATAATCCGAGAACTTAAAGTACTTCATGAGTGTAACTCTCCATTTATTGTGGGTTTCTATGGGGCTTTCTACAGCGAGGGAGAAATTAGTATTTGTATGGAGTATATGGTAAGAAGGGATGCGGGACTATTATATATGATATTTAAGCTTTAGTTTACCAAAAGAGTATGGTGGTACATGTGTATGATAGATGTCACAATTTGATACACAGTCGAAATATTCAGAATATAGTTATTTAATTGATTAAATATACAAAACAGATGAGAGAACAACAATTATAGTTGTGATATTCAGAATATAGTTACATGTATTTAATTAAATACACAAAACAGACAAGAGAAAGAGCAAACAAACTGAAAAAATTATTGTTAGAATTTCTTCTGCATAGTGAAAATTATAAAAGCATGAATGATAATAAATTTAGTAAAATTATATGTAGCTTTTGATACTTGCCTTTTTTAAAAGTGTTTCTTAAGGAGTATTGATCAAAGTCTATTTTTATCTTGATCCTCTAGTTATAGTATCAGATCGAAGAAGATTCATGGGGAACTTTAAGATTTTATAGTGACAGATAATGCTAAATTCCATGCAGTGGTATCAATGGCTATTGAGTATATTCTGTTGTAGGATGGAGGATCATTAGATTTAATACTTAAGAAAGCTGGCCGGATTCCCGAACCAATCCTAGGAAAATTAACAGTAGCGGTGAGTGGGACAATTTTATAATGGAGCCAGGCATTTAGTGAATATTAAGAATAGTTATTGCACCAGGAAAGAAAATTTACTGTTAGGAGACAGACTTTAGGTTATTAGATGTGATTTATTGATTGTAATATCAGAATGCATCTTTTCAATCTTGCAGGTTTTAAAAGGATTAAGCTATCTTAGAGAGAAACATCAAATAATGCACAGAGGTAGGTGTAAAATGGAAAATTAAGCTATCATAGAGAAAAACATCAAATCATGCACAGAGGTAGGTGTAAAATGGAAAATTAAGCTATCTTAGAGAAAAACATCAAATAATGCACAGAGGTAGGTGTAAAATGGAAAATTAAGCCATCTTAGAGAGAAACATCAAATAATGCACAGAGGTAGGTGTAAAATGGAAAATTAAGCTATCATAGAGAAAAACATCAAATCATGCACAGAGGTAGGTGTAAAATGGAAAATTAAGCTATCTTAGAGAGAAACATCAAATAATGCACAGAGGTAGGTGTAAAATTGAAAATTAAGCTATCATAGAGAGAAACATCAAATAATGTACAGAGGTAGGTGTAAAATGGAAAATTAAGCTATCATAGAGAAAAACATCAAATCATGCACAGAGGTACTGGTGTAAAATGGAAAATTAAGCTATCTTAGAGAGAAACATCAAATAATGCACAGAGGTACTGGTGTAAAATGAAAAATTAAGCTATCTTAGAGAAAAACATCAAATAATGTACAGAGGTAGGTGTAAAATGGAAAATTAAGCTATCTTAGAGAAAAACATCAAATCATGTAGAGAGGTAGATGTTAAATAAGAAAATAACTCTTCTCATTTGTTTTTTGCAACCATCAATACTGATTTAACTGTTGCAAACTGATTTTTATTGGTGATGTGTAAGCTGAGCTGGTAAAATGGATGTTTGTGACCTTAAGTCAGTTGCAAATAATAAATGAAAAGGTAGTTGTTTTCATTCTAATGCAATTTATGAAATTTGATTGATGTTTTTGTCTTTTTTAGTGAATTTTATTACCTGAAATAAGTCACAAAGCCCGTGTTTTTGCATTGTTTTATTATGAAGTCACAATCAAAAGCTTTCACTCTTGTTAATGCTCATTTAACTGCCTTAAACATAAGGGCATTAGCCAATCAAAATGCATTTCACAAAATAGTTGCATTAGGTTGGAAGATTAAGCTATCTTAGAGAGAAACATCAAATCGCACACAGAGGTAGGTGTTAAATGGAAAATTAAGCTATCTTAGAGAAAAACATCAAATCATGCACAGAGGTAGGTGTAAAATGGAAAATTAAGCTGTCTTAGAGAAAAACATCAAATCACACAGAGAGGTAGGTGAAAAATGAACAGCGCAAATGTCTTAGTGATAAATTAATTTTTTGCTACATTAAAAAAATAGATACAGGCATTTAACAGATTAAATTTTTGAATCTAATATCAAGTAATATTATTCTCCATGCTACATTACAAGTTTTTTCAATGTAATTCTTTTGTTCCCAGATAAAAATGTAAAATGCTGTATAATTCTGAAATATTTCCTAAACAAATATATCATGTGTCTGCTGAAGTTGCTACCATAATAGAGGATTTTTCTGACTCAGCAACAACAGTTTTTTAATTTTCAGTTTTTAGTTCACCTGAACCAAAGGCTGAAGTGAGCTTTTCCGATCAAAGGATGTCAGTTGTCCGTCTTTTTCCCATCGTCTGTCATTTGTGAACTTTTCACATTTTTGACTTCTTCTCCAGATCTGCTGGGCTAATTTTAACCAAACTTGCCACAAAGTATTCTTGTATGAAGAAAATTCAAGTTTGTTCAACGAAAGAGCTGCACCCTCTTTTAAGGGGAGATAATTAAGAATCCGTGAAAATTTTGTGGTAACATAAAAAAAACCTGCTTCTCAAGAACCACTTGGCCAGAAAAGATGAAACTTAGGTGAAAGCTTTATTATATATTGCAGATTCAAGTTTGTTCAAATCATGAACACCCCCCCCCCCCCCCCCCCTGGGCATAGGCATAGGGTGAGGTCACAATGGGCAATCAAAGTTTTACATAGGAACATATATAAAAAAATCTCTAAAAAATCTTCTTCCCAAGAACAGCAAACCTATGATCAATCATATTGATATGGAAACATCCTTTGGTAGGTTAGATAGAAGTTTGTTCAAATCAGGACCCCTTGGGGTAGCGTGGGGCCACAATACGTGATCAAAGTTTTACTTGGGAATATATAGGGAAAAATATACTGATGAAGAACAGCAGAGCCATAGTGACTCAGGTGAGCATTGTGGCCCATGGGCCTCTTGTTCATTTTTGGAATGCAGTCATATTCTATTTCATTTAGCAGAGACAATCATGTAGAGCTAATATCTACATACCTGAGGAATAGACATCTGTATTAATTGATCAAATTATTGAGTAAACATTGAAGTAAAATCAAAGCTAAAGCATATTGTATTAAGGATATGTATGTATTCTGTATTGCAGATGTAAAACCTTCCAATATATTAGTCAATTCAAGGGGTGAAATTAAAATATGTGATTTTGGAGTTAGTGGACAACTCATTGATTCCATGGCCAATTCCTTCGTAGGAACAAGGTCCTACATGTCGGTAAGTACAACTTTCAAATACAGAATGGCTGGTGATCCGATGGTCAAAAGCTAATCTAGGGAGTGTAAATGGCTTTATGCAACAATCGGCAATGTTCAGCTGATTTCATATAAATGTATGAGGTATGAGCCATGTGAGGAGCTCCGAGTGTTTATGCAACCAAAGGTGTCACAATGCATCCACAAAAAAAAAAAAAAAATAAATAAAACATATCAAAAGAATTGAAAATAAAATGGCATTAGTAAAGTATATCTACAATTAATTCTGTTAAAAAGTTTGATAGTATTGCATTTAATACTAGTTCCCTATTGGCAAATGCTATCTAGTTCCCCATAAAAATGAAAAAGCCTGTAATTCCATCAAAAATCATGGAAGCAAAACTATAAATCCAAACTTGACTGTATCTAATCAAGATATACTCACATGCCAAAAGCCAGCTTATTATCTGCAAGCATTTAGGAAACTGGAAAATCAAGTGGGCAGACTGACAGACAGACAGACAGATGGAAAGATGAGGAGGAAACCTATAGACCCCTCCAGTTTCACTGGTAGGGGACTAACAGGCATTATGATAGTATTGCTTAAGCATTACTAGTATTTTATTGATATTTTAAAATTACCCCCTCCGCTTGTAATGTTAACCAGCAGGAAAGAATGCATTATTCCTGACAGTATCTTCTGGTTTAAGCTACTTTTATTTGAAGCAAAAATCTTTTGAAAATGAATTGAAGTTTGGCATTGACTGTATTGGGGTCCTTGACCTTGTTTCAGCCGGAGCGACTACAAGGGACTCACTACTCTGTACAATCTGATATCTGGAGTCTGGGTCTGTCCCTCGTAGAGATGGCTATTGGTCGTTACCCCATCCCTCCACCCTCCCCAGAGGATTTGGCCAGTATATTTGGGGAGAATGCAATGGCTGAACACATGGAAGCTGCTAAAACAGGGAAACCCCTAAAGGGTAAGAAAGCATCAGTAAAAAGGCTACAAATGATTTATAGGCTGTTTAAAGCTTTTTTTCTGGATTTCGTATGTGTTGCATTTTAATTTACTTTTAGCAAAGTAATTTTAATATATATCAGATTTTTGTGAAAGAGGTTTGGAAAAAAGTAAATTTGCATTTATCAAAATATGTAGTTGAAAGATATTGTGCATGAATTACATTGTTTTTGAACATTGAACAGGGGTGAAGGCAAAGGATGGTAAAATATCAGATATGACAAATATTCTTGTACATTTCACTTGTATTTCACCCTATTAGCTATCATTTCATCTTGTATAACTTTTATTTGCATTAAGTCTGAACATTCTACATCATTCAATGGAAAATAATTACAGTCTATTGTTAAAATGTAAATGATTTGAAAATCCTGTAAATGATTATGTGTATATCCAATATGGACCTTTACTGTACAGTGCACACCTGCTAGACGACTGCTCCATATTATTGTGGTGTGCTATTTTCAGGCTGTCCAGGAGATTTTCAGGTTCTAACAGGTGATGGTCCTTTACCAATGGCCATCTTTGAGCTACTTGAGTACATTGTTAATGAGGTAACAAGAGAGAGAGTTCCTCTACTTGTATGCTGCCTTTAGAACAACTCACAGTGCTCTTGTTTAAAATAGCCTTCTATATCACATCATCAAAAAACACCTACATAGAGCAATTTGTTTGTTTTGATTTCATGAAAATAAGATCCATGTCTTCTAGATATGTATTGTAACAGTGCTATTTTAAACAAGAGAACCAAAACTGTACAGAAGCTTTCTACCAACTGCTGATGTATAATGTGTGCATTCCATTATGTTTACATTTCTCCATTTTCATATTTTTTAATTTTTCTTTTTTTTTTCAGTGCAATACTTTGTTTCAAGGCTGATCATTGCATTTTTCCTTTTTCCCAAGTATCAGAGAAACAAACCTGATATAAAAATGAATTTATAACTAGGAAAGGTTTTAAAATCAAGCAAAATATCTAAGGAGAGAACAGGTTACTGGGTACTAAACAGAGTGAGCTCCCTTTCTCATTCCTTTTCTGCTGTTGTGGACATGCTTCTCATCTCCCATTCCACATGGCTTCTGTAATGTTTTATTTTGCTTGCCACATGACAGTGGATATGACATAACTCTAAGTTTGTGATCATTTTGTGCTTGTTTTATGCATTTTAGGCTCAGACAGAAATAGTTTTAGCTTTCCTGGTCCGCCTGGCACAGAGGGCCCTCGTCCGATGGCCATTTTTGAGCTTTTAGATTATATTGTTAACGAGGTATGTGTAGGAGAGCAGTCGTATGAATTGGTTTTACTGAGATATCATGAATAGTAACAAACTTTATGTCAAATTTGTTAATGTTGTAACTAATGTAGTTCATAGAATTAATAATGCCACATGCAGTGTTACTTTGCTAGAATACGAATACATTTTAACAAGAGATATGTAAATATGGGTATGTTCCAAGTTTAAATGATATTACATGGTACAAAGCATCAACATTTTAAGTCGAGTTGCTCCTAAAAGAAAGGTTTCCCCAGTTCTGTATTGTTTTATGTAACTGCACCTCTTTCAAATTTAAACATACATGCTTTTTCTAGAGATGTGTGTGTTTATGTAAGGGAGATAACTAATAAACAACAACACACACATACACAATTAACATTTTTAAAGTTTTCCTAGAAGTTATTCATTTCTGGACTGGACTAATTTTTTTTTTATTAATTATACAATGTAAATATTTAAAAAAAAATTGTCACATGGATAAATTTATCATGATATAGAAAAAGTTTTTTGTTTTTGTTTGAGACAATTTTTTGCTCCCAGTTCCCATATTTATTCAGTTACCTCCTTCTTTCAAGCATTTATTACTACAGTCAATAATTTAACAAGAAGTTCTTTTTTTTTTTTTTTTTGATATTGTTTTATTCTTTCACAAGTATTAAGCAAAGCACAAACTGTGTAAAGTGTATTGAAGCACTTAGTAATATACTAATTTTGAAACCAAAAAAAAATATTTGATAGTCACTGTCCAATTTTTGTTGTTTTTCCTTGGTTCATTGATTGTGCTTTTTGTATGATTACAATGTTGTTAAGTGCATTTTTTACAATGATATTCCCACATACCACAGGTAATTTTGGCATGGAAAGTATATGTATGTAACCATACATGTATCTATAAAGAATATCCCAAGCAAATCTATATTTACTTGAAAAGAATAGTACATGTTGTGTATGTATACACATATTTATACAGATGTATAAAATATGAACTTTTCACGTGGAACATGAATTACATGATGCACTGTATGCTGGTATTAATTAATATGCATGAGAGTCAGGGCAGCCACTCAGTAAAGCTGCACAAATTAACATCGTTAGTGGAATAAATGTCTTTGTAATCTGCTAAGAAAAGAAAGCTTCAGTAACATTTCAAAATCAAAAGCTTACTTGCATATTATTGTGAACATTTAATGATAAATTTTTTCATAGAAAATTCTCTGTTTAGATGTTTTTTGTTGTTGTTTTTTTTACCTTGAATTAAAAATTTTGCCTACACATTGTGATAAATTTCATGCTGTGTATAACTCTTTGTACAGACTGTTTGATAATATCTTCTACTGTTTATAGCCTCCCCCAACACTACCCAAAGGAAAATTCTCTGACCTATTCATAGACTTTGTTGAAAAATGGTGAGTCTAATGTTATTTAGTCTCTAATAACTTAAAGGTGTAATAATTATGGTGTATTATAGAGGAATAAGCTTACATAGATATATGATGACCATGGTGATTATGTTAATATTATACGTGTATACTTTATCTTACTCCTGAGTGCTATTTTTTACAGTTTGAAGAAGAAGCCATCAGACCGAGCAGATCTTCAATCATTAATGGTACGCCCAGTTTACATGTATAACTCATACTATGATATCATTTCCAAAAAAAAAAACAAAAAACAAAAATAAGGAATTTATAAAACATGACTATGCACAGGGCCAAAAAAATCAGGGTTTCATTAGAGAATTCATGCCGAATATTATTTCTAAGTAAAGTATTAAATAGAAAAGATTAGCGTAAAAGTTTTCATTTTTTGAATCATATTGAGATGCATGAAATGAAAATTGTTGCACGAAAAGATTTCAATTACAGCCAGTAGCTGTTTGTCAATATCTTTTGTTCTACCCAGGGAGTCTATGAGAAATGTTGCACTTAAAGGCCTAAAACACTTGTATATTAAGTTAATTTATTTGTAGCTCTTCTGAGCCAAAGGCTCAAAGAGGTAAAGCTATATATATGGCCATTTGTGCGGTATGTGTCAAAGTTAAAGCTCATCTGAGCCAAAGGCTCAAATGAGCTTTTCTGAACGAAATTTGTTCATTGTCGAGAACAGCAAAGCCGTAGTTAGTCAAATTCATATGAAAGCAACTTCTGGTTGTTTAAATTCAAATTTGTTCAAATCATGACCCTTGGGGGTGGGGTGGGGACACAATGGCCTATCAAAGTTTAACATAGGAGTGTATAGAAAAAATCTTTAAGGAATAAAAAGGAATATATAGAAAAATCTTCTTAAGACCAGCAAATCCATAATTATTTATATTAGGATATATAAGGAAGTTTCCTTGGATAGTGTACTGGTACATTCAAGTTTTTTATGACGTCAAGCTCTTGGAGCTCGAACGTCATCTAGCAAGCGCCCAGTTGAAATCACGACCGGATATGTACGCGACCGAATGTGTCAGTCGATGCATGCGCAATAGAAAATAGCAATAGCTATAAACCAATTTCTTTGAAAACGCTCAAAATGAATAATAGCTTGAAAATAAAATTGCATCAATTATCAATTAATTCTATTGCAAACAACAATATTATGTTTTATTCTCACACAAGAAAAACGTGATGGTTGTTGCGGATGAATTTCTACAGAAAGGGTGCGTTGAATGACATGAATAACATTTCGGAACGATAACCGTGTAACATAAACAACACAACAGGAGGTAAAATAATTACAAAATTACATAAACACGAATACTACAAGACAAAAAAAGATTGAATTTCTAAATCTTAGCTTTACTTATACAATCTTCTAACCAACTCTATCCTAAAAACCGATGATATTGACCAGTATTGCTGTATTTCTCCATTTCCTCCATTTCCCAGTATACCGTATACCACGCCCGATCGTAACTCGATCGTAATTGTAACAGAACAGAGTCTTGGTTGTAGTTTAGATGCAATCACTAATACAATGCTTTGACATTGGCAATTAGAAAAAATATTATATAAATTCATGAAATCCTTCATAGTTCTTCACTGACTGAAAAGATGTTCGACGGTGTCTGGTCAATTCGAACCCTGCTCCATTCGGACCATGACATAAGGCTCCACACTGTAATTGTGATATTTTGTTTAAACTATTTTTTTTATTATGTCTCCTGAGTCACTCACTTGACTTATTGCTATCTTCAATTTCAAAATGATCTTTTGAAATTGTTTTTCTTCTTCGACGTCGTTGAAGCCTTTCAGGCTTTTGATTTTTTTTTTCTAATCACAATCCCTTGGGGTAGGGTGGGGTCACAATGGACGAACAAAGTGTTACATTGTAATAGAAGGAAAAATCTTTTCTTCAAGAACAGAAAAGCCATAATTAGTCATATTTTTGTAAAAGCATCCTCAGGTGGTGTAGACTCAAATTTGTTCAAATCATGACCACTGGGGGTAAATAGGGGCCACAATGGCCTGTCAAAGTTTAACGTAGGAATACATAGGGAAATCTGCTGATGAAGAACAGCAGGACTATAGCAGCTCAGGTGAGCATTGTGGCCCATGGGCTTCTTGTTGGAATAAGGGCTATCAAGAACCCCTTTGCCAATTTTTGTCAAATTTGTCATAGAGTATCCTTGGCCTAAGGGCTTTCACTTGTAATGGAAATAGGGATGTGACCTTTAAACAATGGGAGATAATTGGGAAACAAAGAAGTAGTGGCTTTCCTAAAAATCTTCTCAAGAACCACTGAGCAGATTATTACCAAACTTATGCATAAGGATAAAGGGTAAGGATTGTCAATTAAAAATTGTTCAAGGCATTACTTAGGGGCAAAGGGTGTTGTCTCAAGTTCACTTCAAAGTTGACCTAAAATGATATTTTGTTAAAAGTTTGATATTTTGCCCACTATACGGACTAGGACCATCAAATCTTGTGAGTAGGTGCACCTTAGGACCTCATTTTGACTCAAAAGTAGAACATGGTTGACCTACTATGGTTGACCTACTGTTTGAGTTTTGCAGGTATTTATTTTCAAATTGATTTTGATAGATGTATTGGTCACTTTGAAGTCTATGATCATCAGAACTTGTCAGTTGATGCATCATGGGGCTGTGAAGTGTGTCACCGTGACCTACTTTCAGAATTTTATAGCTAATCATTTCAAAAATTTTAGTTCATTATTTTGGATACTGGGAGGTTTTGAATCATCAAACATTGTAACGTGAGCATCTTGGGGCCTTGAAACATATTCATAAAAAGCCTTAAAAAGTAGGTAACAGTCACCAACTTTTTAGCTCAGCTCAACGAAGTTGGGGGCAGCTTATGTGATATCCTGGGTGTCAATGTCCCAGGTTTAAAGTTTTTGGAGCAGTTTTCTTTTTAAGTACTTTTTTGCCCTACATTAATCATAGATGCGATGGAAGATGCTTCTAGTGTGTTTCATTGTACCAGTCAAGGTTTCAGATGCTGCAATTTCAGCTAAGAAATGACCAGGTTAATGTTTTTAGAGCAGGTTAAGGTTTTTGGAGCAGGTTTAAGTTTTTGGAGCAGGTCTCATTTCCAATTAACTACCGGTATAAGCCCAATGTTGACCAAACTTGCATAGATGATACCTCTGAGGATACACACTACCAGGCTTTCTTTGGATGCTGGATCTGACTTACATTTTCCAGATGAGTGACCAGGTTAAAGTTTTTGGAGCAGGTTTATTCTAAAGTAACTATAAGCTTATGTTGACCAAACTTGCATGGATGATACATCTAAGGATGTACACTTCTGGACTTGCTTCGGATGCTGGATCTGACCTACATTTTCCAGATGAGGGACCATGCTAAAATTTGAGCAGGTTCATTCTAAAGTAACTAATTGGCGTACTTTGACCAAACTTGCATGGATGATAATCTAATGATGCACACTACTTGACTTGCTTTGGATGCTGGATTTGACCTACATTTTTCAGATGAGTGACCAAATTAAAGTTTTTGGCACTGGTCCATTAACAAGAAATTATAAGGCTTATCTCAACCAAACTTGCATGGGTGATGGATTAAGGGATGAACACTCTTGAACTTCCTTTAGATGCTGGATTTGAATTACATTTTCTGGATGAGTTACTAGTTTGAAGTATTTGGATAAGTCCATTCCAAAGTAACTGCAAGCCTCATCAGATCAAAATTGCATAAATGTTGTTTGCATCTTGGGATGTACTAGATTATTAGTTTAATGTGGGATTTGCCTTACTTAAAGACAACATTTGTTGAGGTGAGCTCTGTAATCTCTGCTTACCTATGTTTGAATTTTGCAGATATTTATTATCAAATTGTTTTAGATGCATATTTTGGACACTGTAAAGCCTAGGATCATCAAACCTTGTCAGTTAATACATCCTAAAGCCTTAGAGTATATATCTACCATAAAGTTTGGTCACATTGACCTACTTTTGGAATTTTATGGCTATATTTAAATATAACAGATAGTAAATGGCTTAGAATCATCAAACTTTTTCAGTTGATGCATACTGGGTTTTAAAATTGTGTCAACCAAAAATTAGATCATGGTGACCTACTTTAAGAATTTCATTGGTATATCTAAATATTTTGGATAATAAGAGGCTTAAAGGGGCTGGGGCAGTCACCCAGATTTGAAGCTCATATTTTCTTAAGTTTTCTAAATAATAAAAATGAATTATATATACTACAGCATTTCACATCGAATTATATTAAAAGCTTGTTAAGAAAATTCTTTTATCTGGAAATTATTAAACCTACCATTTTCGGAATTAATTGACACATATCCTTGCATGTTAACAAAGTAAACTTTATCCATGATAATACTGGGTACTTAAAAAAGGTAGAAATTTTGTTGTGTATTAATGAAAAATTTGAAATCTATAATCCAGAAAGTTCAGAGTAGAAATGCAAGAAAGCAAAATCAACTCACCAGTATTGTTAGTTTGTGCTCAGTGATGTGTGCAGACTAAAAAATTTAAAAACACACCCGATTAAACATAAACACTAACAATAACAGATCATATGTGCCCTGTTTACAAACACAGGTGTTTGACCTGATGTTATGAAGAATGTTGTCATTGAATACTTAGAATATTTATGTAAGTTCAAGTTATTTTTTGAATAAAAAAGACATTTAAAATTGAAAACAATGCAACTGTGTCCAGTTCCCGTTAAAATCATCAAACTTTTTCAGTTGATGCATTTTGGTCAAGAGTGTGTCTACTAAAAAGTAGGTCATAGTGACCTACTTTTAAAATTTCATAGATGTATTTAAATATTTGGGATAATAAGAGGCCTAAAATCATCAAACTTTGTATGTTACTGTGGAATCATCATTGTTTGTGGGAAACCAATGTTCGTGGATTTTGTGGGTCACCCTTACCCACAAATTTACATCCACATGAAGGTTTATTTTGTTAACCTATTGATTCATTGAATCCACAGTATAAACGAGTAACCCACAAAATTGGTCCCCACGAAGAAGTAAAATTTTGCTTGCCCACAAACATTGACCCTTTTGAATTAAAATGATTCCACAGAAGCACACATGGGTCCTCAGATTGTGTCAACTAAAAAGGAGGTTACCTTGAATGCTATGTGCTATAATATAGCCTTTACAGGTCTCTCTGTAACCCCCTGGGTGCTAAATAGTCTTTACCAGTTTGTCTGTCTCTTAACTCTGTGTGTTAAATAGCCTTTACCTGTCTGTCTTTTGACTATGTGTGTCATATAGCCTTTACCTGTCTGTTAACTCTGTGTGTTAAATAGCCTTTACCAGTCTGTCTCTTAAGTATGTGTGCCACATAGCCTTTACTAGTCTGTCTGTCTGTTACAGAGCCACCCATTTGTCACACGATCAGAGGAGGAAGTCATGGACATTGGGAATTGGGTCTGTAAGGTAATGAACATCAAGCCAGAACAGAAGAACAGTTAAACACCAAGCAGCATTCCAAGCCAGCCATGTATCTCAGTGGTTCTACATATACCCCATATTCCTCCAATGTCAATTATCATATGTCTTGTACAGTCTGTCATAGCTGAGTAACTTGAGTTATCTTGAAAACACTTAGTATTAACTTTAATTTTATAAATTTGAATCCTTTTCCTCCTCAGAAGTGATTAATGTGTATTAAAATACTGACAGTAAATTTTTGTAAGCAACACATAATATATTTTTTGAAAATACATGTACAATAACTGCAAACATTTCTCTTCAATCAATGGGCATTACTCAGAATATTAAGGATTACCTTTCACATGCAGTAAGAATTTTTTTCCACCTACGCAAGTTACTTCAGAAGCAATGTTAAAAACAGAGAATGACTAAACTTTAGGCAGATCTGACACCAATAAGTACCTACATTGTACAACAAGATGTAGAGGATAAAAAATGTGTTCATACCATTTGGTAGTCTATTTATTTATAGGCCTCATGACCTTATCACACAAACATCATGTATTTTTGATGAGCACAGATTATTGTTTCACATTATGTAGTTTATATTTTTGATTATGATAGTGTGTTTTAGATTTTTCTTTTTGAGAGTTTTCACGCATTGAAGTTAGTGATCTGTTGTGTATTAGACTAAATGTGTGTTTTACAGAAATGCATGTAGTAAAAATTATGAAATGAACTGACTTTATTAAGGTATTCATATATGGAATATTATTTTATACATAACATATAGAAACATAATAAAATATAATTGTCTTCACAATTTTTAAAGTTCATTTTTGATGACCATTATGTAGTATACTGGATGGATGCCAATCACTATTGTATATTAATAACAGTATGATTAAAGATGTCAGTGAGTAGGCCACCATGATAAAAGAACAATGGCCCTTGTACATGTACCATGAATAAGAAAGAGTTGCACATGTATTTATTAAGCATACTTAACATTCTGTTTAAATGTCTTCATTAGATCAGAAATGTTTTCAAATAGCTAAAATTGGTGTTAATAAATTATGTCAGAAAATTGGAACTAATGTGATGAATTTTACCTGCATATACATGTACCATTGAAAGATTTATTAAAATTTTCTTCAAAATTGATGATTAAATTGACTATATTTTTTCTAATGCTGAAATATTTCTTTATCAAAGTTTAAGGAAAAGAATATTTTTACCAAGGACCAAAAAGATTAAGAATTTTAATAAGACTTAATGCACTTTTCTGGATAGCCCATTCTGGATAGCAGGGTTGCTATGAATTAGTAATTAAGAGGCAGTCCACCAAAAAACCAGGCAATGGGTGGCACATCGCATGTCATGAATTTTAACTATTTTTTGCATGTAGACTTATTAAAGCAAATGTTTACACATGGCAACATCAAAATTTTTTTTAGTGTTCCTCTAGTCCTATTTTTGGTAAGTGCTTAATTTTAAGTGCAAAAAGGTCAACAAGTTGGCTGAAAATTTACTACGTTTTTGTTTTGTTTTATTTGAAACAAATACTCAAAAACTGGATATGTCAATAAATATTATTTATAGTATAAACCCTTATCTTTTATAATATCAATGAATAAGACACCAGTTTATATTTCTTTAGAAAAAATTATGTGGTCTAAACTTGAGTTAAGCAAGTGACTTAATGAATTCAGTATCCAATTTTCATTACTTTCTAAAATCCAATACATTTAAATGTCAAAACTTTCTCCTTATGTTATTATGAAGACAAAGTACAAATTGTTGAATAAATTTAAAAAATTAGTGGGAACAGGTATATTGAGAGAAATAAGAGGCGTCAAATTATCTACTTTTTATAAATTTATCCAAATTAAACCGATCCCGACCGGAATTATATAAAGAAGAAAGCTACTATGATTTCATCATGAAATTTGGTTGTTTTGTTTTAATATGGCTTCCAAATTACTTGATTTATTTTTAAACATGTTTTCTAGGTGGCAATTACCATTAATTTGATTACTTAAGAATTTTGCATTAATTTCGATCGGGATCGGTTTTATTTCAATCGGGATTGGTTTCTATATTAAAATTCAGAAATATTTTCTAAAATCGGCTCTTCGTTGTATTTTATCATAAGAATATGTCTGTATTTTTTGTTCTTTTCTGTGAGTTAAATGTTTTTAGATGATTTTATCCATAGATTACATATATCTTAATTACTAAATGTTTTTCAGTCCATGAAGATCTTTTAAATTACTTGTAAAACATCTGTTTGATTTCTTGATACACACCTATTTAAAAAGATATTTATTTCATGTAACAATTAATAGCAAATTTTAAGCTTAATGAAATATCTCATTTCCAAGAAAAATATTTTTCTAAATTATCTGGACGAAAAAGAAAATCTAAAAAAAAAAATAGTCCTGCAGTGGCGAAATTATACATGTACGTACTTTAATCCAGCAAGTATTTTTTATGTGTACAGCCTCGGCTTTAATCCAATTTTTTTATCCATTCATCATATTAAGGAATATTTTCCTGCTCTAAGAAATTTAATTTGAAATAAATAAGAAAAAAACCTGTACATTTACATACATATAATCATGATAATAGAGCCCAGAAATGATCGATCGCACGGAAAAAAAAGTGGGGTGGGGGTGGGGGGTTGTCTCGGCGGCATCCGTTTTGTAACTGGTTTGATAATGAGATATTTTGGAAATTTACCAACCTACTGACTTATTTTAACTCCATATAAAGTATAAGGATATGTGGAACAATTGTCAAATTTTAAAAACGAAAATAAAAAAAATGTTCCATTGAATCATCTGCCGTTTTAATGTCAGCTTGAAGTGGGGCGTCCAGCAGTATTATTGGCAACATTTTCCTCATTAAGTTGTAAATTTATAGATTTCTATAACTTTTTTTCTATTCTAGTTTTTACATTTTATAAAATTAAAGTCAAAACAGAAACTGAACCACCGACACTAATAGTAAACGATGTGACGAGTACTTCCGTTCTTACAACTGTTAAAACTTATTCGGTCCGACAGTCGATCGTGAGCAATCGTATAATGCTGACTGCATATTTGATATTACTGCATATAAGTTAACATATTCAAGTATTAACAACACTTAATGAAGTGCACATCTCGACTTTGCTGAATCTAATGTTGCGTAAGTCTGGAATATTCATCATTACTAAATAATAAGAAATAATTCTTAATCTTTTCACGTCCCAGTTTTATCAGAAATGTTCATAATAAATTACACTAGAAAAATTATTTTTAGGAATTATAAAATACCAGTATATGCATGTGCTATTAACTCATTTTAAAAATAAAACAATTTAATCCTATCATGATTACTGTATAGATGTTCTGTACATGTATAAAATTACTTATCAATACTGACTTGTTTTAAATCATCTATAACTGAGGCACCGCCCGTGAATAAAATACATTCTGGATCACAATATTATTTAATGCACTCGGAAAAGTAATTGGACAGAAAAGAGAAATTATTTAACTTAACTTTTTAAAAATCTTTTTCTTTGCACATTTACATAAATTTACCAACTTCTGCGGAATATTTGCAACTATTGTGACGCAATATTAGATAGGTATTTGACGTCACTGATACATCAATGGAAACGTGGATTCAACCTGAATAATAAAGCAAATTTTAAACTAAATATGTTTGGAGGTGAAAATTAATTCCATTTTTCAAAATAAACCAATTATTTTTGGTTGAATAACATTCTTTAGTGTATCAGTTCTAAATATTTCACAGGGTTTCTGATAGTAAGATGTTTAATCGATTTCCCGATGCTACGGGAGATAACTCTTGCATCACAGAATTTCATAAAAATGACTGTCTATTTTGCAAGAAAACTACTATTGAAAACATTTTTCCCACTGATTTTATTTTTTGAATTGAAAGATGAAATATTTCTTGATTTAGTTTGGAGTGAATTATAGATCTGTTGAAAATGTATTAGAATTTACAGTTCTTTGTATCCGACCTACATGCATTGGTTTATATAGCTATAGGGGAATTCAAAAACACAAAACAAAACGATATTTTAGTAAATAAGCTATTTTCAAACAAATCTTTACTTACATTATTCCATATGGACTACATTAATATCATTTTCAATAAAATATCAAATATTCGTCACATTCGATGTGCCGCCTATTAATACAATACTGCCTGGTTTTCTGGTGGACTGCCTCTTAATTGTATCCTAGTTTGGATACCAGGGTTGCAGTTTGAATTTGTGTATGTCCTAGTTCTGGATATCATGGTTGCAGTAGAGTTTGTGACTTGTTGATCTAGCTGTGGAAAGCAGGGTTGCATTAGAGTTTGTGAGTTGTTGATCTAGTTCTGGATAGCAGGCTTGTAGTAGAGTTGTGTATTGTTGTGTCCTAGTTCTGGAAAGCAGGGTTGCAATAGAGTTTGTTGATCTACCAGGTAGTTCTAGATGTTAGGGTTGCAGTAGCATTTGTGTAACATTGACCTAGTTTGAATAGCAGGGTTGCAGTATGAGTTTGAATAGTTCTAGTTCTGTATAGCTGGGTTGCAGCAGAGTTTGTTTATTGTTATCCTAGTTTTGGATAGCAGGGTTGCTGTATTAGTTTGTGTATTGTTGTTGTAGTTCTGGATAGCAGGGTTGCAGCAGAATTTGTGTATTGTTGCGTCTCAGTTCCAGATAGCAGGGTTGCAGCAGAGTTTGTGTATTGTTGTCCTAGTTCTGGATAGCAGAGTTGCTGAATGAGTTTGTGTATTGATTTCCTAGTTCTGGATAGCAGGGTTGCAGCAGAGTTTGTGTATTGTTGTGTCTCAGTTCCGGATAGCAGGGTTGCAGCAGAGTCTGTGTATTGTTGTCTGGGTTGCAGCAGAGTTTGTTTATAGTTGTCCTAGTTCTGGATAGCAGGGTTGCTGTATGAGTGTTTGTATTGTTGTCTTAGTTCTGGACAGCAGACTTGTAGTTTAGAGTTTGTGTATTGTGTCTCAGTTCGGAATATCTTGGTTGCAGTACAGTTTGTGTGTTGTGCTCAGGTTCTGAAAAGCAGGATTGAAGTATAAGATTGTGTCTTGTGGTGTCCAAGTTCTGGATATCAGGGTTGCTGTACTAGTTTGATTATTGTTGTAATTCTGGATAGTAGGGTTGCAGTAGTTTGTGTATTGATGACCTAGTTCTGGATAGGGTTGCAGTAGTTTGTGTATTGTCCTTGTTATGGATAGCAGGGTTGCAGTAGAGTTTGTATATTGTTGTCCTAGTTCTGGATAGCAGTTAAGAGTTTATATGTTGCTTTATCCCATTCTTGATTATCAGGGTGCAGCTCAAGTTTATGTATGTTCCAGTTTTTGATAGCAGGGTTGCAATATGAGTTTGTTTGTAATTGTGTCCCTTTTCTGGATAGTATTGAAGTAGTATAAGTTTGTATTGTGTCCCTTGTTCTTGATAACAGGGTAGGTATACCAGTTTCTTTTTTGTGTCCCAGTTCTTGATAGCAGGGCTGCAGAAGAGTGTGTTTTATTGCGGCACAGTTTTGGATGGTTTGGTCATGGTGTAATGTTTATACATTATGTTTTGTCCACACAGTTTTTGCCTGAGATAACCATTCTCATAAAAGAAAGACATTTTTTAAATGCAAAATTTATTTTAAATAATGTACACAACCAGACAGATTTGCAATATTTGAATTGCTGTTCCTAAAAACAAAACAAAAACCTGCTTGACTATAAAGTGAGACATACATTAATGATTAAAAAAAAAAAAAGATATGCAAACAAATAAAATGGGGCAATCATCATAAAAAAAAATGTCACCTCTCAAAACTTAGTGAGAATGCATCATCTTTGTGAAATAAATAATAAATAACTACGACTTTTTTCTGAAATAAAGACATTTTAAAAAATTCATAATTACAACTATTTTCCTAATTTTAACAAACAAGTACATTAGCCTTATAAATACAAAGATAACATAACATTAAGATACTTTGGCACAAAAAAAACCCAAAATTCATTTATATGGAATTTCTATATACATAATACTGCAAATTATGCTTAACATTTGAAAATGAGTACACATTGTCTTTGTCAAGGAGTATTATAATTGAGAACCTCCTTGTCCTGTTAGCTTAAACCCACCTCTGACAGGGATCAAGTTTGATTGGATGAGACATATACACATAGTGTAAAAATGAAAGTAGAAATTTTTGCTGGTAAATGAGGTACAAATAAGCACTATGATTTTTTTTTAACAAATTAAGCTAAATAAGCTTATTTGTCTGCACAACTTTATAATACATCAATGTTTTTATGTATTGCTTTATTTAAATTGGGGGGGAAATGTGTATATTGCACCACTTTGAACTGCAGAATATGAATTTGAATATGAGATTATGAGACATTTGAAATGTTAAAAATTAATTTGACTAGATGAACACAATGAGCAAAAGAGCCCCCCCCCCTTCTCATTCTCACACACACACGCATAAAACACATCACTATGTACCCTTAAAATGTGAGAAATATGGTTAAAACTAGTATGAATATTGTTCTGGAAGGGAAAGTCACTCCTGCACTGCTGTTGCCTGCAAAAGAAGAAATATGTTTAGTACATTTAGTAGTTAGAACTCGGACAAAAGCACATAGGGTCACCAGAGATAATGATAGGGATCCTAAAATAAAAATGAATCAAAGTATGTTTTCTCTTGTTAATATTTTACATATTCCTCTAGGTATATTAATAATTATGTAATTCATTAATTTACAATAACTTAACTGTAATAACTAGTAAGGTTTTGATACTGGAATTTTATTTAACCCTCATGCCTTTCCCCATCTACAATGTATACCTAGTATAGGATTCAAAATATTCTTATGCAATTTAGGCACAAGAGTAGCATTAGGATTGATATACAGTCACAGAGTGTGAATTAACCTGTGTAATGTGTGAATTCACTGATACCTTGATCTCCAGGTAAATTGATTTCATATCCAGGACCTGAGGTCACCAGTGGTCTATATGAGGAGGTTGTCCGTGGACTGACGGTGGAGGATTTGGAAGTTGTTGGAGATTGTGTCTGGGAAGGTGAGGTCTGGGACTTCTGTGTGGATGTGGATGGGAGAGATGAAGTGGAGATCTGTGTGGATGGAACTGTTGATAGAGTGGTGGTAGATTCTGTGGTGGTAGATGTGGTTGTAGGAGAGACTGTGGTGGTGGTGGTGGTTGTGGTTATCTCTACAAAAAAAGAATACATAGCAAAGTTATGATGTATTAAATAAGAAAAAATGTGGAAAAGAAAGCAAATTGTAACAGTGTGTATTTCATTAGATTTTTTTGCAAGTTCATTTAAATCATTGTTACAGTTCAACTGAAACATTACCTCAGTATTTTTATCAATGTTGGCAATCTCTGGTACTACATTATTGTAAGACTGAAGTGAAAGACAACAGAACATAAAGATAAAAAGGATCTCTTTAAAAAGAAATGCAACAATACAGGCACTCACCATGTAATGTGACATTGCCAATTGCTTCCCCATACTTGTTCTCTGCCACACAATAGTACACACCGAATCCTGAGGGAGGTTCTGCCTGTTTGATGAGGAGGTTCATAACAGTGGTGGTGGAGTTCTGCTGGATATTCTGAGGCTCATAGTTCCAGTCCCTCACTAGTATTTTGTTGTCTTTCTTCCAGTTATACTTGGGTTTGGGAAAGCCAACTACAGAACACTCTAACACAGCACTCCTACCAGATTTCTGGGATAATTCAGGGGTTTTTACAATGATTATTGGTGCATCTGAAAGAAAATTAACACTATCAAATTGATACAAGAAAATGTCAGTGATTTCATGTTTCCTGCTTATACACTGGTTGTAAAAAAAATTTAAAGTGCTGCAATACAGCACAGTCTGGGAATAACAGATTTAGGGCCTGGATAAAAACTTTTCTGAACTCTTTGATAACCCAGATGTCAGAATGACAGTCTGACATACACGTATGATCAAACAAGCTCCTCTACCCTTAATATTATGTCACTAGGTTACATGCATGAATATCGGTCAGTACATCAGGTCTCAATAGGTACATGTAAGAGATTAGAGTGCTGGCACAGTACACCAGAGGTCCTGAGTTCAAGTTCCAGTTGAGACTTGTGCATGTAACTTATATTTATGTCAAACAGAATGAAAGATGCTGGTATTAATTACTTATAACAATAAGTTACTGAGAAAGAAGTACATTATATATATAGAAGTTCGGGCTATACAGACCGTGGATATCGGCCTGGACAGCTCAGTGGTTAGAGCACCTGACTAGTGATACAGGGGTCCCGGGTTCAATTCCCGGCCCATCCATATGTTTACTTCATGCATTTCTTCTTTCCTACTACATTTGGTGGCCAGTGTGGGGGCCTTGTTTAGGTTACAGTGCATGTGTAAATTTGTAATTCCTGGCAGGGCCCTAGAACTTGTGTCTTCGAAGTCGAAGACTGTTTAAGGAGGGAGGAATGTAGAAGTTCAGGCTATATGGACCGTGGATATCGGCCTGGGTAGCTCAGTGGCTAGGGCACCTGACTAGTAATACAGGGGTCCCGCGTTCGATTCCCAGTCCAGCCATATATTTTTTTCATGCATATCTCCTTTCCTACTAATTACATATATGCACCCATTCATTCAGCTGGACTTACATTCAACATCCACCTTGAAGTCTTGAGTGGCACTTGGAGTGACTGTATTGTAAGCTGTACACCTGTAGATACCGGACTCTTCTCTGCTGATGTTGGATATTGATAAATGTGGTCCTGTGTCAAGCTCTGCAAAACATTATCATGTATTAAAGAAAAGTTGCCAGAATAATACATTTAAGTTATAAAAATGTTTCTAAGTTTGAACCTTTTTTTTTACCTGAATACTTAATGACTAAATTATTTCTCACGTGTTTCTGTGTTGCCTTTAACAAAATGCCACATGATTTTGGGTTCCGGGAATCCTGTAGCTTCACAGGTGATGTTAACCTCACTTCCCTCCTGTACATGCTGGTCTTCACTGGAAGAAGATGGGAGGATCCGAGGGGCAACTGTATGAAAGAATTAATTACATTTATAAGTTATGATGCGTCATACCAGCAGTTTTAGTAAATTACAAGTTATGATGGGTCGTATCAACAGTTTTAGTTAATTTCAATTTATGATGGTCCATATCAACAGTTTGCTTCTAGTTAATTACAAGTTATGATGGGCCATATCAGCAGTTCTTTGTCCTTATACTTGCTGTTTTTGTATTATTTTGAAAGACCTTATGTATAGATTGTGTAACCCGGCCTCTTCTGAATTTTTTAGTCACCGCACAGGGGCTTCCTCTCGAAGTGTAAAAAAATATTTTGAAAAAAAAATTAATATATCAACTACTAAAATATTATTTTACACACCTGGAGCAAGTCTGTGTGGAAAAATATGTACATGAATTCCCAGCATAGCATACTAAAAATTTCTGAATGGAGGGCACAGTATCAGGGGGCTGCCTTGATGGGGGCACGGGGGGGGTCAAATTTCGCTCGTGAAATAATTGAATACATGTACATACTATTTATTTGAGGATATTTGTAGACTAAATTGAACAATTTAAACAAAATTTACGAAAGAACAAAAATGGGAAATGGGAGGGCACACACACATGGCACGCCAGAGCTGCATCCACCTTTGCATATCATACACAGGTACTTGTTTCTTACATGGGGTCATTCCTGCTACCCCATATATGAAACTAGTGCCTGTGGGCAATATGTAAATCTTAATAAAATCGGAAAATTATATTAGAATGCAGGTATAATATGCTGGGAGGTCAACATTACCGCTACATTGCGAATAATTTCCAACTCATTACCGCTACATTTCTTCGAAATTTCGGGCGATCATTACCGCTACATTTTATCAAAATGACTTTTGCCGATTACAATTCATTACCGCTACATTTTGAGTCTACCAGCAATGGCACAAATATGAGTTCTCTTCAATATATATGTTAGGAATTCATGTATTTTGATAAGTTACAGTGTTTAAAAAAATTCAGAAGGCTAGAGAGGATGCTCCATCGATATGTCTGCTGTGGTCTTCTTTGAAATAGAGGTTAAAGAAGGTAGAGAATTTCAAAAGCTTAAAGATTGACATGAAATAAATGTGTGCCCAAAATTGTCCTGATAGCCCTAAGATTGACCAGAAGTAATTTTCCGAGAGTTCTGCACCTACATATGTACGCAACTTACTAGCGGTCCATGTTTCCAAGGGGACCAAGATAATATTTTGATACTTTACTGCATAAATTTCAGAAAAATCATAAGGGGGAAACCGATACCCCCCCTCCCCCTCCGGAATGGTTGCACTTATGAGTGTACTGTTTATATTCATTTAATTTGTTGGGACCCATGATGATAAATCCATTATTTTTACTTTTTTACTACTTGCATGTCCGATGTCAAATGTCCATTGGAGATCCCCCCCCCCCCAAAAAAAAAACACTAAAATTTCGATGTGCTTTTGGTGTATGTAAACATCCTGGTTCAATAACAGCCCAGCAGATTTTTGTTTCCTCACAGTATTTGCTTACCTTGAACTTGTAATGTGATATTTTTTGTCAAAGTGGTAGGGTACCTCACTTGACATTTATACACCCCGCTGTCCCCGATTTTGACGTTTTTGATAACAAGATACCAGGAGTTGGAGTAGGGACGCTTCAAACTAAATCGAACATCAGATATGATCGGATCCTCTCCCCTAAACAACAAATCATTCCGTGGTCCAAACCACATCACCTGTAACAGAAATTATTTAGTGGTCATTACAGGCCCGTAGGAAGCAATTTCACTTTGAGGGAGCACAAACATACATTTTCAGTTGGGGGGGGGGCACTATCAACTACCAAAATTCATTGACAAAAAAAAGAAAAGAAAAGAAAGGAGAAAGAAAAGGTCACCAGACGTTATTTTGAGGGGGCACAAGCATATAGTAGCTATATTTTCTATAGTATTCGATATATCGGCAAAATTATTTGGAGGGGGGGCACGCCCCCCCCCCCCCGGTTCCTACGGCCATGCATTATCTGCCTTGATAGCTATAAATACGAATAAACTGGATGGCTGCAGCATGCAGACGAAAAATAAATTTTCTTGCGCCTGCATTTGTGCATAGCTAAATAAACCCGTACTTCAGGAAAAATCTACAAATACGGGCAATTTTTACTTTTAATCGTGAAAGCACTTGTGTTTAAACTGCTAAGTGTTTTATTTATAGTATGTTCAAATCGTTGTTAGTAATACAAATTAACAACAATCTCCGCGTTTCAAATGTGATATCAATTTAAGAAGTATTGCAAAGAAGATTTCTGTGCATATATGGTATTCCTTTACTTATATATATATATATATATATATATATATATATATATATATATATATATATATATTGGTTTCTTTCTCTTTTGGGGCACTGAGGGAAAGGTTTTACATTTTTTGACTGCAAGCAAGTGATTAAAATGTTGTCGAAATAAATAGAATTATTTATTAATAACATTTCGGAGGGGGGGGGGGGGGGGGAGTGACTGAATTATTTTAGTAATTTACATGGCTGTTTCCGAGATTTTCAACAGTACAGGCTAGCGTTGTTGATCCCCCTGCCTTCACTAGTTGTTTGATAGGCGTCATGTCCATCCATATCTGCCCACATGTACCTGAAATTTAAACTAAATCAGGTCAAATATCGTCATCATTCCACGACTTTTACTCTGTGAAGATTATTTTCTTGAAAGCATTAAAAAAAATTTACATTTTATGAAATATCCAAAAAAAATGAATTAAATGTAAAGATGCTAGATAAATTATATATAACAAAGTGTGAAATCTTGCTTCCTGGGGTTATCTAGTGCGAAGATTATTTCTATGAAGATCTTGGGATAATTGGATGTTTGCAAGTTTTTTTTTCTCAAAAACAAGCATTCATAATAAGCCTAATACGTTACATTTAGTTAGGATGTTCTAATTATACCAAGATCAGTATGTGACATCAGGTCAGAAGATGAGTCCTAATTAGTACACAAATGTTTAGGATTTTTCTTTATTTACCTCAAAGATCTGCTGATTATATAGCTGTAAGATTTTCTTCATTTGACTTTTTTTTTTTCCTTTTTCTAATCAATAAAAGAATGTCCCTCTTGAATATCGAGCGTCCAGTAAATTTTGATTTTTGCGATGCACTGTAGTAATAAAGCCCATCGAATGTGTGTTTTCATTAGCAGATTTTTACAGAAGCTTGAGAGGGTTCCCCCGACAAGAGGGACATTGTCCTCCGATTTGAATATTATCTGAATAGCTTTAGGCTCACTCCGGGGAAGGACCGAACTCGTTTGATGAAATATGGGGGCGAACTGCTGATTAGAAATTAGCTACTATGCTCAAGAAATCTGGCCATGGAAAATTGGGAATAATCAGCTGATTTACATATAAATGCAAAGGAAACAAAAAATATTGAATCCTTCTTCAATGGAACACAGGACAGTGAAATCCAAGCCGAAATAAGACAGGCCTATATGCATTACATTTAGTGCCATGCATGAACACCAGTAAAACATTTTTTTTTTATTTCATCGTTTGTTTCTAACCTTAATTTGATCTCGAGTATTATTAAGACAGATGTCCTGTATTTTCAATGCGTTAGAGTCAGTGTTTGCTAACTATTCATAAACCAAAATCGATGATCCTTACTGTTTTAGCAATGGAAATAATTGAAGGATTCCAATAAAGTGATAAGGGGCGGTGGGGAATATCTGATTGTCAGTCTTTACCATGTAGTAAGTTTATGGTCTATGTATATATGGTATATATGCTTATGCATTTTGGAACATCAGTAGTAACTAATAATCTACACTACCCTTAAATAGCTCTGGTCAGAATGGTCAGTTCATTCATTTTCTCAAAATTGTGTAACTCACACACAGATGTAATGGCAGTCTTTGGTTGCGGTTTGTAAGATTCATTTAGTTTAAGAATTATTTTATTCATGATATACATAGAAGTATATACAATGAACATGGATTGAACAGCAGGCAAAAAAGTGGCCTATATTACTTTAGTAGTTCTCTCCATGAAAGATCAAGGTACAACAAATGTAACAATAATACTTATTGCATTTTAACATTCTAAAATCTTTTTTGTGTTTTTTCTTTTTTTAAATAAAATTATGAACTTGGTCAAAGAATAGAACATTTTCTCTAAGAGAAAGACAATCATAACCAAGTTATACAATATTGGTATCTCTTGGTATGTCATTCGAAATTGTATATCTAAAACACTAGCTACCATCAGACCCGCGGGATAAGTGTACGTAGTTTTATGTTTCTATTTACCTATCAATATGTTTAGGATGGTTAGATAAATAGACATGTACCCAGGGGGATACGTAATTATATCATCGTCCCTAACAAGATCTTCTGATGACAGATAATACATAATTAAACCCATGGATTTAGAATTTTTATGGGATGGGAGATATTTCTAAACTCTCACCGAACCTCTAGCTTGTAGTAAATCAAATACATCTTTCTGGAATATAATACGTTAATATAATGACTCACGGAGGAAGTTTTGACCTGCCTGCTACTAATGTTACTATAAACTTTCTTAGCATATAGGTTCCTTACTTTAGTTATTTAAGTTATTAAGTAACATATATTATCGATGCTTAATTATTCTACATGTAAACACAATCGATTTTTTTCCAGGGGTTATTGCTTCCTTCAATGTGAGTCGCACAAAACATTGTTTCTGTAGCTCCAGATCTGTAGATCTACTGATAATTATACATCTGACCAGCTCAATACAGCTAGAATTTTAGCCATTTTGTACATACTACACATAACCTTAATCTTGTGCGTCAGTCCTGCAAAGTTAATTAACCCGATAAGACAAAACCTGGGGTCAGCAAAACTTTTACATACCTGGTAGAAAACACAGCCATGAGATTAAAATAATTCCACTAAACATCTCCAGACATGAATTTAATAATCAGTAATCCTATGTGGCATAATTAATTGGATTTAACAATACAATCCAGTTAACAGTTTATAATTTAATACTTGGGTCGTTGTGTTTCATCATCTGCTCTATGGGTCTGGCATTACCCAAATATTAAGCAGACCCAATGCGTAAATCATCCGGATCGACTACCCCGGGGGCTAAGCGTGTTCTTCCTTCTATAACACAGATCAGGACGTCAGAGTTCTTGCTATAAATCAACGACCTTGGTCCAGTAGCTGCTAGTAACTTGGTTCTGTACTGCGGTGAATTACTAACAGACGACAGTCACACAAACTCGCTATCGATCTCTGCAGCAATTTGAGATTCAGTGTTACACGACACCACTATTGATTACATCAAAAACAATAGCAACATTCCATCTCTACATCCGAAAAAACATTGGTACATAACACAGAAAGATACTTCCGGTTCGCATAGCGCACCTGTTTTCCTGGGCACTGAGCCGCGACAAAACCCAGAGCGAAACTAAATATAGGAAGCTCGATGTCTTACTTTTTAACGATTTTGAAGCGTTAAATCACATATCACGTAATGAACAGGTTGATAACAACGTTTGCGGTCGTACACAGAACTGAATACATGTTATTATTTTATCCAAAGAATTTGATTATGAAAAAATACTTGCAATACATGGCAACACAATTTTCACACCAACATGTAAGGAAGTGTGCTCTGTCATCTTCCCTGTTCAAGCGGATATCAAATTATATGTAGATGTAATTAATCAGTGTTTCAAAGTTTAATTAAATATAAATATTAGTACAGACCATGTTACACAAAGATGTCTAAAGGAAGTGTAACGAAAGATGTCTTGCTTTAAATTTGAATTTTATATCACGCTAATGCAAACAAAAAAAACAAAACAAAACAAAAACAAAAAAATGAAATGAAATTTCAATACTTGGTATGGAATTCCATATACGACAACCAACTGCTTACTGCCAGCTACTCACTGCTTACTGCCAACTGCTTACTGCCAACTGATCACTTAACAGCCTGTTACCACTGCTTATAGATGATATTGTCTTTTTTATCTTAATATCTTTAATACACATGCCTGAATAAATCCTATGATAGCAGGAAATGATGATATAGTATTGCTTTGCCAACTACCTCCCAGTCAATTTTCATAAGTTAGCATATTTGAATGATTTTTCATATTTATATAATTTTCATAAAACGTGACGTATTTGGGAGAACAAAGAGAGATAAATTTTTAATTTGGTAAAATATGTGTTTTACAATAAATCAACGGAAAAACGGAACTTAATTTTTCAAAACACCCCCGCCCTGTGAAACAATAATCCCTTTTTACAAGGGGGGGGGGATATGTGAATGGACTTAAAACAGGAAAATAGTCATTTTGTTACCAATTGTAAATGAGATAACAAATAAAAAATGTACTTTATCAGTCTGATATGTTGAATTTTACAGAAGTTAAACATGTGAAGAGAATTAAGAGTCATCCATTTTCATGAGTATTTGAAAATCTGGTGATGTTTTAAAGTCTGATTTCAATTGAAAAAATTTTCTACCCCCTTATGTAAGGAGTTGTAAATAAGAGCAAATGACTTTTTGACAGTGGTTCTTAAAATTATTAGTCCATTACTTTTCCTTGCATTCAAACAAGTTTTAATGGCCAAATTGTCATTCTAACTCCCGATTCCCTCCTACATTTTACATCCGTTTTAATTCAATATAATTAGCATTAGCCATTAAAACTTGTTTGAATGCAAAGAAAAGTTCATTAGTAATGGATTGATAGTTTAAAACAAGTGTTAAAAAGTTAATTGCTCTTATTTAACACTCCTTTCATAAGGAGGTAGAAAATTTTATTAATTGAAATCAGGTTGAAAACATCACCAGTTTTCAAAATACCCATGACACTGGATAAAAGACTCTTAAATCTCTCGGTTTGTTTAACTTACCCAGGTATGTTAATTTGAACATATCAGATTGATAAAGAACATTTTTTTATTTGTCATCTTATTTGAAATTGGTAATAAAATGAATTTTGTCCTGTTTTTAGTCTTTAAACATCCCCCTTCCCGTGAAACAGCAAAACTTTGAGAAACAACCATTCTGAGAGTATTGCATTAGCAATACTAGTCCCCAACCGACAAGTGTAATCTGGTTCCCGTTAAAAATTGAAAATGCCATAATTCCGTCAAAAATCAATGAAGTGGAACGAAATGCATATTTGATCTATAACTCATCAACGTAAAGTCACATACCAAAAATCAGCTCAATATCTGCAAGTGTCTAGAAAAAAATTGCGGAAAACCCTGAAAAATTGAAAATGTCGTAATTCCGTCAAAAATCATTGAAGCGGAAAGAAATGCAAACTTGATCTGTAACTCATCAAGATACATTTACATACCAAAAATCAGCTCAATATCTGTAAGAGTTTAGAAAAAAAGTGCGGAAAACCAAGTGGGACAGACTGACAGACAGCTAGACAGACGGACGGACAGACTCAGAGGAAACCTATAGTCCCCTCCGGTTTCACCGGTAGGGGACTAATAACAATTCATTATACCTGTAAAAAGGAATTGTTGTTCCGCGGGGAGGAGGGGTGAAAATAAATTTTCGTTTTCCGTTGATTTCTATAGTGAAAAACATATTTAAAAGCATTACCAAATTAAAGACATATCTCTTAGTTATGTTTATGTTTTAAATTTACATAAGTATAAATATGAAAATCCATTTAAGAAATAAGATATCATAATACATAAATATAAATATGAAAATTCATTTAAGAAATAAGATATCATTTTTAGAGTTTTATTCGGATATGACATGAAGTCGGTCACGTGATCAAATTCTATAAGGGCGTTATAGTAGATTTGATCACAGCGCGCTTCATGAAATATGCCTACGTGACAAGTCTGTGTGATTTACACACCAATAACTAACACAAAACTTAAAAACGTTCCTTATATTTACATTTTACATGTTTAATTGCACCAAAAATATACTCTGTGTTTGAATTTATCGCTGCCCTATATCGTCATATTTTTATTAACGTCTCTTTAGCCTCATTGTGACGAAGGGCGTCTATAGTAGATTTGATCACGTACCGACTTCATGTCATATCCCAATGAAACTCTAAAAAATGATAAAAGAAAGTCTGATTATGTGACCAACTGCATGTCATTGAAAATTGAAAGTCAATTTAATTAGTATTGTCATACAAGGAAAGACATCGGCAAATGCAAATATTCAAATATGTGTGGCAGTTGGCAGTAAGCAGCGAGAAGTTGGCTGTGAACAGTTGGCAGTAACCAATTGGCTGTCGTGTATGGAATTCCATACATCTTATTGTGCGGGAATAAACACTTTTTTCATACTTCAGAATTCATAAACGTTAATTTAATAAATATTTCAGGACCAGCAAAAAATATTTGACTGCACAAAATAACTCTGTTTGCAGCCTGCGTGGAAAAATGGGAATCCAAACTTAACAGCACTGTATATACTTCGAAAGAGAAAAATTAAATTGACCATTTTCTTCTTAAAAACCATCCCCACAAAATATAGTTCCTCACATAATGCTTTTTGTATGCTGCAACAAGTGGGCGTCAGTTCTCCAAAGGACTGCCCCCATCTGTCGGATTCATGACCGGAGATGATCGGCAAGGAGGTTAATTATGATATGACCACTCTAGAAGTGACAGTTTCTGATTTAGCACTTTTAAAGTAAACCATTCTCTCCCCGCTTGTCAGACATTTTTCAGACGAGAAGAAAATAAATAATCTATCCTTGATCATTTTGAAAATAAATGATCTGTCCTTGACTGGCATGAAAATAAATAATCTGACTCGAAACTTTTTGCAAGCCCCCCCCCCCCCCCCTTTCAGAATCAAATGATCGTTCCCTTACACACTACTACCAAACCCTAGTTACTGCGCATTATATGCTATGCTCACAAACAATTGAAATTCAACTGAGACACATATGAATGAAAATATTACCCTAGTACTTAATGAAATCTTAATAAATGGTTTTCACGCTCAAATTAGAAGAGATAGAAAGATGTGGAGGGGATGTAACTTTATATGTACTGGCTACTAAGCTAACTTACATTTTGAGAAATCACATTATTGATCCTAATATTGAAGAATTGTGGGCTGAGATTTTTTGTTCTCGGAAACAAAAGTTTTTAGAAGGCTGTAAAAAACCTATTTTGTGATGGTGGTGTCCACGTTTTCCAGTGGGGGGTGTCTAAAGTCATTTTTGATTTGGTTCAGTTTATACTTTAAATAACTCTGCAAATTCCAGGGGGGGGGGGGGCCCCGACCCCTCTAGATCCGTGCATGAGCTATGGATGAAATGTCAATATTTTTGGCCGGAGATTTTAATGTAAATATTTAGCCTCTGGTAATAATACCTTTATGTAGCTTTTACAAAGACTGCATATCAGTGATGTGGTAACTGAACCAACCAATTTCACTTCAAATACAGGAACCTGTATATAGATTTAGCCCTCACAAACGATGTAAATAGAATTTAAATTGTAAAGGTTAATGCACCTTATGCAGCTCTCATTCCCCAGTTTTAATAAATACAATGTATATTATCTAAGGCGTACAAACAAAAGGCATAAACGTACCATAAGAAACTCTAATTTATAATTTATAATTTAGCCGATTACCAAAGCTTGAACGGTGACTTAAAAAAGTGAAGTGGAATGAGGATGTGTTCAATTGTGAGAATATTAATGAAGTGAATAATAATTTTAATTCAAAATTAATTAACTTAGTTGACAAGTATATCCCTCCAAGGTCGACCCTCCGACCCTTCCAAGGTCTGTTCGACCCTCTGACAATCCTTTCATTATAAATGCAATTCGTACGAAGATGAGGAAAAGAAATAGAATGGACCATAAAATAAAACAAACAGATAATCCTCGCCACTGGCAAAATTTTGATAAATTCGTAACGAAGTAGTCAATTTAGTACTAAAAGCTCGAAATGATTATAAAATAAAACTGGCCTCTCAACTCATAGTTAAGACTATTTCCTCCAGGTAAATGGCGTATTGCTAAATCCGTCTCAAGATTTAAAAAACAAAATACCTCCCCTCCTCCTCTGAAATCTGGTGATGGTAGAATACTTATTCATCCAATTGATAAGGCAGAAGAATTTAATACTTATTTTGTAAACATTTCACACATTAATGCCGAGCTAGACCTTCCTGAACATGGACCCAGTCCACCAATTAATTGCTTTGACAATTTTGAAATTGCTGAACAAGATGTTCTTGATCAACTGAAGAATCTTAGATACCTCAAAACCACCAGGGCCAGACGGATTTTCTCCCAGAATTCTAAAAGAAACACGATTCTCTATTTATAAACCACTAACAAAACTCTTCAACATGTCACTCAGAAATGTCTACCTTATATATGGAAACAAGCACATGTTTCACCAATCTTTGAAAACAAAGGAAGCCCCCAAAATACCAATAATTATAGGCCCATTTCTCTTACTATATAGTTCTCTCTGTAACGTCATGAAAAACTTTTTTTCAAGTATATATTTAATTACATAATGAAATATAAATATAATTAAATGTAAATTAAGATAAAATTATGTCAAAGGCCGGGACCTAAGATTTATATTCTGTGGTATTTCAAAGGCCTTCGACAGGATTTGGCATAAAGGACTTATCTTTAAACTTGAAAAATTAGGCTTTCAAAATAATATATTTGGCTGCTTTAAAGATTACCTAGCTAACAGGCAACAAAGAGGACATGTTTTTCATTGACCTTTAAAACTGTTGATGTGTGAGTACCTCAGGGGTCTGTGCTAGGCCCATTTTTATTCTTATTATATATAAATGAAATAACCAAAGGCATACATAATTGTATCCGTTTATTTGCGGATGATACATCATTGTTTGCTATAGTAGACGCCGATATTTTTACTCCTACATTATCTCTTACGAGCGGTCTTGAAAAGATAAAGAAATGGGCAATCTCTTAGGCTGTAGACTTTAATTCTGAAAAAAAAAAAACCCAATCAATGTTAATTTTAGAAGAGAGCAATGACTTTTCCAGACATTCACTTTGGAGAAAATTGAGGCATTATTGAACAATCCAGTAGTCATATGTACATCTAGGACTTCATCTTCAGTCTGATATTAGTCGGAATAATCATGTCTCTGCTTTTTACGGAAAATCTTGTAACAGATTTAATATTTTGAGATTATTAAAGCACACACTTGATAGAAACTCTTTGATAAAGATATATCTTGCTTTCATTAGAACCGGTATGGGATAACTGCTCCCAGGAAAATATAGAATTGTTGGAAAAGGTCCAAGTAGAAGCTGCAAGAATTATTACTGGTCTAAAGATTAATTCTTCAAGATCTTTTCTATACGACGAAGTGGGTTGGGAGTCATTATATCACAGAAGAATACCGGTAAATCATAAACTTATATTATTTTACAAAATTGTTCATGGCATATTGCCCCGTATTATCTCTGCGAATTATTACAGCCTTTCCAACCAGTGCATCACTCTTATAGTTTGAGATCAGACAGAAGTAATATTTTTCTACCATTATGTAGAACTGTATCTTACTATAATAGTTTGAAGAAAATTTTTAAAAGATGCCATTAATTTCTCACTAATTTGTAATTATCTCCCCTTGGAAGAGGGCGTGTCCCTTCATTTGAACAAACTTGAATCCCCTTTACCCAAGGATACTCTGTGGCAAGTTTGGTTGAAATTGGTCCAGTGGTTTTTGGAGAGAAGTCGAAAATGTGAAAAGTTTACAGACAGACGGACGCCGGACAAAATGTGATCAGAAAAGTTCACCTGAGCCTTCGGCTCAGGTGAGCTAAAAAAAAAGGGGGTGGGGCTACAACACGTATTCTTTACACAACGACTCAGAGTATCTCCCTAAAGTTTTGGAAGACCCCCCCCCCCCCCACTTTTGAAACCGTTGCTATGGGCCGTTTTTGCGTCACTCGCTTCAAATACTTCTAAATATTTTACGGGGATAATCAGACCGGGCATTTAGGTTTTATAATTTACTTTATGTGGAACTCTTCAAAATTGAAAACAACAAAAAGATGGCGGGTGAGAAAGACGATTTTCTCAAACTGAAGCATATTAAATTCTTTGAGCGATGTTTACAAGTCCTTCCCGGTAGATATAGTTCGCTCGACACAAATAGGTAATCGTTGTTGTAATGATACTTCAAATGTAGGTAAACAATATCATATGTGTGCTGTGCTTATTACGTGACGATAGAGATATGACTGAGCTATTCACCAGTTCGGCAGTTGTTCACACCAATTAAATATTGAGAATAAGAATAAGAACACTGTGTCGATTGATCGACTTCTTTAAATTTTAAAAAAAAATCTTAGTACTGTGTAGATTACACATTTCTATTTTCTCGGAGATTTTGTAGGGAACGTGGCCTTTCTCACAGACTCTTATGAATCAGCATGATCTGTATGAGAAAATTTTATATTGATATTTCCCCCTGTAGGATTAAAACAATGCAGGCGTATAATAATCAACTCATATATGTTTTGCGGTTTTTCAATGATCGTTGATTTCTTTTTCAGGATGACAATAGCATTTTTTGCCTTATCTGGTCTTGATCTCCTCAATGCTTTGGATAAAGTAGAAAAAGACAAAGACCGAATAATTCAGTGGATTTATTCCTTGCAAATTCTTCCAAATGAAGATGGTAGCTATTTTTTCTTAACTTTGTATTCATATTTTCTGACATCTTCAGTAGATCCCTCAATTAATGAAAATTAATGAAAATTACAGGATCTAACATTTGTCAGTGTGGATTTCGTGGATCATCAACAAATGCAGTCAAAGATTCTCAGGTAAAGACATTCAAGTCACTCATTCTTTATTGCACAATATCTAGTAACATTAAACAGGAACTTGTGACATACTGGGGAATGTGCTGTTTCTCTCTCATTATTAGACATTTATCAAATATTAATCAGGTCAGTATTTTTTCATCCTGACATCCTCTGTTGGATAACATAATTAAGGTCTTCAGACTTTCTTCGGAAACCTTACTGTTTTCCTTCTGTGTCCTATTTTTTTAATTATTATTCCGATTTCATAGAACAGACACTTTCTTGGAAACTAGTCCACACTCGACAGATTCCAAAGATTTTTTCTGGAATGATGCATCATTTTCATAGCTCCAGACTTTTTTTTTCATTTGTTGAAAAATCACTTCTAATCACATTTTTTGTCAGATTTTCATTTTTCAAATCGCCATTTTGTCCACGCTTTTTCTTATAAATGACTCAAGATAGAATCATGAAATAGAACATCTTCTTTAATTATGCATAATGCCAGTGGCATAGCTTCCATTGAAGCACAGAAGCACGTGCTTCCACATTGTTCTGTGGGGAAAAATGAATTCACAAAAAGTTAAAATGTTTCGAATAAAAATTTCTTCAAAGAAAATACTAAATTGTAGGAAAATCGTGCAATATTTAAGGTTTTAATTATATTAATTTATGAATATTACTGATATATATAATTTATAAGACTCAAGTCCATGAAAACATATATGAACTAAAACTTCCAAAGCATTTTAAAAAAGGATAATACATATTTAGAGTAAATTGTATAACACTGAATATGAAAAATGCATGTAAGCCTTTAACAAGGCTAATGAGAAGGACATCTGAGAGAGCTGCTGCTGTCATTCGTAAGATTTTTTCCTGGCTGAAAACGCATTTCTGACAATATCAATATCTTTTGAATAAAAACTACCAAAAGTTTTTAGAAAAAATACTGAAAAACAAGTAACATTTAATGGCTTATAATGTTATAAGTCTATTTAAAATTGGAGGATAATGTGCATTAGTGGCTTCATAATTGTCCATTGTCAATTATCTAAAGTGCACCAGCTTCCAGGGGCTTCGCACCTGAGTCCCACCAGTTACTATCCGGGCCTTATGCCGGCCCCCAAACCTTATGCTTCCACATTGATCCACCCCAAGCTACACCACTGAATGCCTTTTGTTTTTGTGTCCGTCACTTCCAGTCGACACTGGAAGTATTTAATTTAGTGATTTTTTAAAAACTTGAACAGTTTTGAATAAAGGCATCTGGAACTAATATTCATATGGATCATTGACAACAAAAACAATCCATTGGAAGTACTTCCGGTGTAAACCGGAAGTAGTCTAAAAAATTAAGATTTTTCTCTAAATTTTCAGAAATAGTATAAAATCATTTGTAATGAAGTTTTCAGTTTTTTCCTTGCCTTTGTAACTTTCAACATCAACCGGAAGTGATGACCTAATGGCCAAAAAAGTCCAGATCAAAACTGGAAGTTGTCAAAAAAATGATTTTTTATTTTTATTTTGCCTAATTTTCATAGATTTCCAAAATTTTATTCTTATTAATACATGTAGGTTAAAAACTCTAAATACATTACTTTCAATGTCCATTGTCAGTCAGAAGACCTACTTTGCTCTAGTTTATTATTATTATTTTTGGTTGAATAATAATTTTATTGCAGATTTGCAAAATTTTGCACATGTAATATGAGAGGTGACTAAGAGTTCAAATGTGTTTTCCATATATGCAAGTAATGTGTTAAAAAATAAAGGAGGTATAAAATACTTGAAAAGTCGCTATCAGTATCAACATTCACCTCGCAGTAGATGTTCATTTAGACACAAACAACAGAATGATCTTTTGTAGATTTGCTAAAATTCCCATTTGCAAGACATTTTGTTTAGCAAAGCAAGTTAAAATACTTTATTGTTTTGGAATCTGATTCCATATCTTTCTTCTCCTTTTTTTTCAGAAAACAGAAGACAAGTTACGGTTGGACAGTGGACACATAGCCATGACTTATACTGCTATAGCTTCACTTCTTATCCTGGGGGATGATCTGGATCGAGTTAACAAGTCAGCAGTGCTGCAAGCTCTCAGTCAACTCCAGCAGGGGGATGGAAGGTAAAACTTTATAACAAGTCAGCAGTGGTGCAAGCTCTCAGTCAACTCCAGCAGGGGATAGAAGGTAAAACTTCATAACAAGTCAGTAGTGCTGCAAGCTCTCTGTCAACTCCAGCAGGGGGATGGAAGGTAAAACTTTATAACAAGTCATTAGTGCTGCAAGTTCTCTGTCAACTCCAGCAGGGGGACAGAGGGTAAAACTTTATAAGAAGTCAGCAGTGCTGCAAACTCTCAGTCAACTCCAGCAGGGGGATGGAAGGTAAAACTTTATAACTAGTCATCAGTGCTGCAAGCTCTCAGTCAACTCCAGCTGGGGGATGGGAGGTAAAACTTTATAACAAGTCAGCAGTGCTGCAAGCTCTCAGTCAACTCTAGCAAGTTGATGGGAGGTAAAACTTTATAACAAGGTAGCAGTGCTGCAAGCTCTCTGTCAACTCCAGCAGGGGATAGAAGGTAAAACTTCATAACAAGTCAGTAGTGTTGAAATTCTCTGTCAACTCTAGCAAGTTGATGGAAGGTAAAACTTTATAACAAGTTAGCAGTGCTGCAAGCTCTCAGTCAACTCCAGCAGGGTATAGAAGGTAAAACTTTATAACAAGTCAGTAGTGCTGCAAACTCTCTGTCAACTCTAGCAAGTTGATAGAAGGTAAAACTTTATATAACAGAAAAGTAACCGTGTGATTGAGAATGCATTTTGTGGAGTAATGGAATGGAAATTCATGGTATTTCTGAAATATTTCTTGATTATAAACAATTGTAAGTGAAATCAATGTTTTTATTATGCCCCGCCATGAATATGGCCGGGGCATATAGTGTTTGTCATGTCCGTCTTCCGTCCTTCCGTCCTTCCGTCCTTCTGTCCTTCCGTCTGTCCTTCCGTCACACTTTGCGTTTAGCTCTGTTCAAAGCTCAGTTTCAAAGATACCATTCAAGATATTTTTATCAAACTTCATATGCTGATAGATATTGATGAGAGCTATGCAACTGCTTCAACATTTTTTGACCTTGACCTTTCCTTTGACCTTGACCTCACTTTTCTTAAATTAGTGTTTAGCTCAGTTTTAAAGATACCATTCAAGGTAGTGTAATCAAACTTCATATGTTGATGCATACTGATGTAAGCTATTCAACTGCATCAACATTTTTTGACCTTGACCTTTCTTTTGACCTTGACCTCACTTTTCTTAAATTAGTGTTTAGCTCAGTTTTAAAGATACCATTCAAGATAATGTAATCAAACTTCATTTGTTGATACATACTGATGTAAGCTATTCAACTGCATCAACGTTTTTTGACCTTGACCTTTCTTTTGACCTTGACCTCACTTTTCTTAAATTAGTGTTTAGCTCAGTTTTAATGAAAGCATTCAAGATATTTTTAACAAACTTCATATGCTGATACATAATGATGAGAGCTATTCAACTGCATCAATATTTTTTACCTTGACCTTTCCTTTGACCTTGACCTCACTTTTCTGAAATAAGTTTTAGCTCAGTTTTAAAGATACCATTCAAGATAGTGTTATCAAACTTCATATGCTGATACATACTGATGAGAGCTATTCAACTGCATCAACATTTTTTGACCTTGACCTTTCCTTTGACCTTGACCTCACTTTTCTTAAATCAGTGTCAAACTTCATATGCTGATACATACTGATGTAACCTTTTCAACTGCATCAACATTTTTTGACCTTGACCTTTCCTTTGACCTTGACCTCACTTTTCTTAAATTAGTGTCAAACTTCATATGCTGATACATACTGATGTAAGCTATTCAACTGCATCAATATTTTTTCACCTAGACCTTTCCTTTGACCTTGACCTCACTTTTCTCAATTTGTGTTAAAATGTTGCATCACTAATATACCCTCGGCGGGGCATTCATGTCCTATGGACATATTTCTAGTTTTTTATGATTAATACTACAAACAATGATTTATGTACTAAACTGAGCTGTTAAACAATCTTCAATAGAAAAAATGATAATTTCTCAAGAATGTTCAGTATGTCAGTGATTGTGTAATCTGTCTTTTGATTTTCAGCTTTTGTTGTGTACCAGAAGGAAGTGAAAATGACATGCGCTTTGTTTATTGTGCTGCATGTATTTGTTACATGTTAAATGATTGGTCAGGAATGGATGTGGAAAAAGCAGTTCACTTCATTCAAAAAAGTCAGGCAAGGGCATATGTTCTTATTCAACAACACAAAGTGTTTTAACCATACTGGCATTTTGATTTCAATAGAGACAGCAGTATAATGTAATTGATAGTTCTGATGCCCTGCTAGTATAACAGTACAATCTGTTTATATTTCAGTCCTATGAAGGTGGGATTGGACAAGGCCCTGGTCTAGAGGCTCATGGTTAGTATTGCCAAGAAACATATGTTTATTTTCCATTTATTCAACCTTACTGCAAATTCAGAGATATGCAGTATTATTGAATTAATCTTTTTACAAGAAAGTTGGAGAGTCACTGAGTGTAAGCCTGTGCTAATGTATGTTGTAGTACTTTTTTTTTTTACATGCAAGACATATAAACATATAATAACAATGTTAATGTTAAGGCCCACATAAATAAATTGTGTGTTTACGGTTCCCCGACCGACCCTAAAATATATGAGCCGACCCTAAACAATTTATCCGCAGATATTTTTCCAGGAGTAAACTATTCCAGTTTCACTATCAGAAATCCTAATCTCGATCACTTCCGTGTTTCAGAAAATGCATATTCTATACACATTAATCAGAAATGTTTTGACAGCGATTTCCACGGGGGAAAATGGTAGCGTGGTTGCCAATAAAATATTAAAATAAAGTAAAATGTTTCCCCTACATACCTACCCTATTTTTTCTCAGGTTGGAATAGGAAACGCACTATTTATTTATATTGGCCTAATCATTATGAACTTATTCAGTTCATGGTATGTGAATTAAACAACTCTGCAATAATTGTAGTCATAAACAGGTTTTCCATCAATGATTTATAGTACTTATTAAGATAGTACATGTATGTAGTACATGAAACAGAAGTAGAGGATTCTGTCCAGATTGGCTATTTAGATGAATTCTTACTGGTCTCAAATCTGGAAATTCCACAGACATTGTCCTTTGTGCTTCAGTGTTTTTTTTTCCATCACTTACCATTAATTATTTACGGGTGGTGTACTGACACTGTTTATATTTTACAAGTAATTTAGTGATGCTAATTTTATTACTGGTGGCATAATATTTTGTTGTTTTTGACAGGTGGTTCAACATTTTGTGCAATAGCAGCATTAGTACTCATGAACAAATTAGAGACTAGTTTTACACCTAAACAATATAAAAGATTACAGCGGTGGTGCATAAGTCGACAGCAATCGGGATTCCAGGGACGACCAAACAAACCTACCGACACGTGTTACTCCTTCTGGGTGGGAGCCACACTTAAGGTAAAAAGGATCTGCTGAATATAAATAAAATGAGTGAATTTTAATTTTTTGACCCACTGGCGTAAATTCCTGATTAATCCATCAAGTCTGATTTACCTGTCCTGAGCTACATGTGTGAATTTAAATATTGTCTTAAAATCTCCATCTAATATAAACTTTTATATGAAATATTTCTCATTGTCAATTTAGTTTGAAATAATAATGAAATGGACTGGTTCAAAAATTTATGAAAGAAATGAATGAATATACTGCTACACCATATGTAATTTATTTTCTGTGGATTTAGCTGATAGATACTTACCAGCTAAGTAATGTAGAATGTAATAGAGGATTCTTAATGGAAACACAAGATGCAATAACTGGAGGGTTTTCTAAATGGCCGGACCACACACCAGGTGAGGATTGGACTATGTCTAATGAAGTTATAGACATGTATCTATTATTATTTAAGAAACAATCAAATTTATGCAACAATTGATTGTGAAAAGCAATTGTTCCATTTTTTGAAAAATTATTGATGAAACTGTACTTGGTTTAAAACTGATGTTAATATTTTCCATACAGATGCCTTACATGCATACCTTGGATTGGGGGGTTTGTCACTTCTGGGGGAGGAGGGAGTGCTTCCCATGCATGCTGCATTAAATATCAGTCAAAGAGCAAGTAAACACCTTAACAACTTACACTCTAACTGGAAAAATTGATGATACTCAAATATAGATATAATTATCTTACAGTATACATTTTTCTGTGATCATTAAAATTTACATGATTTGTACATTCATTCTTTATATTTTTATATTATTTTGTAGTATATGTACACCTTTTTGCCAAATTATGAACTGTTAAAGTGGCATTTAATTAAAAATGTGAATACAAAAGTATTTATTTTTGAGATAATTGAAATGACAGTTTAAACTCATTGAATGTGAATTTCATGACAGTACTTTATGCATATGTAGTTTCCCTCTTCACCAAATGTTTACTGATGCAGGTTGATTTTATAGTGTATGTATTTTTACAAATGAATTGTCTTGTAAGAAGTTATTGTCCTGTGTAATACTTCTGAAGTCTCCTAAATATGTTTTGTTAGTGTAATAGATAAAGCTGATCATTGAACTCTACAAACAAAATGACAGTTTTATTTCTTCTGCATTATGACATTACGATTCCATTGTGATGCTCCAATTGCAGGATCCCCTATATAAAACTACATGTTGCCTTTGTTTCATCATTTTCATACTGTATTTTCAATATCACTTGAAGCATGAGTGGCCATGTGTGTTTGGCCAGCTTTAGAAAGGTATCTGGTTCAGATCTCTCGGTGAGCATTTGATTCATTGGCAAATCTGCATTGTGTCAGTCCAATCAAGTGAAAGTGGGTACTGGCTTATGCTGGGATGGACTGGTATCCCATCAAAGAGGGGTGAAGTTGGGGGGGGGGGTTCAATGACTCCTCTGCGTAGCATCATGGAAACCGAGTACAAGTGCCAGCCCTACGAGCCCCTTGGTTTGGAAGGATTTAACTAATTTGATTTATGGCACAGTTATATTGGCCAAAAATGGCCCTGTCAAAACCTTTTTTTGTTTTCTATACCGTTGCCAAAGGCTCTGCAATAGAAACACTCAACTTGCCCGAACATGACAAGAAGCATACGGCGGGTTTGACCGGTCGACAGAGGATGCTTACTCCTCTATGGCCCCTGATCCCACCTCTGATGTTTTAGAGGTCCGTATTTGCTCTGCTCCAAATTTGTACTGTTTAAATGGCTTGATTACTGTTCGTTATCTTCATATTTCGAAACAACAAATAAAGGATGAAGGATGTGGGGATTTGTATTTTTGAGATTATGGACAAAAAGGTAAATTCAATCATTCATTCAACTAATTCGTGCATTATTTGAAAACAGTGAGAATAAGTCTAAGATTTTTCTCAAATCTCAGCTTACGCGAGAAGAATCTTAGAAATGTTAATGGCAAAGCGTTTTAGGAAAATCTCAGCTGAGGCAGAAATATCAGATTTGAGGCTGAGATTTTTATGCGTTGGGATCTTTTTTTCTTTTTCTTTTTTCTTTTTGGTCCGGTACAGTAGTTATTTTTTTACTTATACTCATTTCTGTAAATTACTGAGTTGTCTTAGATTCAGTGTACAAATATTTGTATGCTTTCGAAGCAGTTCAAGTAATAAACTATATACATGTATCACTGATGATAGCATCTAGCTGTCTAATTTGGCTCTTAATAAAAAACTTAGTTCAGAATTTTGATCGACTCCGTACGCACAATGCATCACAAACTAAAATGCCCGGAGTTTTTAATTTTTTTTTTTAATAAAATGAAATCTGACATTACCATTTTGAGGGACACGTATAAATCACAAGAAATGCACTATCAGATTAAAATAAGCAAACTACACATTCTTGTTTGAAATCCTTTCGCAAGGAAAAAATATAGTTTTCCAAGAAAACTGTTGTCTTTCTTTTGATAACATTTTGTAAAGTTGTATATACAGTATAAATATCTTATGAATATTAAAATAAGTAATAAACACACATTTTGAAAGATGTTAATCCTGTCATATTGGAATCCAAATGTTTAAGAGCTACTTCCTTAAAATAATTTAATTGATTTGATAGGTTTATATATGGTATAAACTGTGTTGCCTAGGGCACAACATGAATTACGTATAAAACCCTATCAGTCCACTTAATTTATGTGATATTTTAATTTTGTAAATTTTAAGTCATTTTAAGGGTTTACATTTTAGTCATTTGAAATAAAATCAATAGTTACCCAAATTATATTTGTATAACCTGAGTTGGAACAGTTCACTATTTTTAAACTGCCCCTTAGGGTCTACATCAGGTCGTAGCAACGGTTTTAAAGGGGGGGGGGCTCCCCCCCCCCCCCAAAAAAAAAATCTGACATGAAAAAAGTAAAATCTCCAAATTGAAAAATCCTGTTTCTTGGGGGGGGGGGGGGGGTGGATCTTTCTCTCAGTTTTTGGTATTTTTTTTTCAAAACATGGAATTTGACAGTGCTCAACCTTACAGCAGCAAAAAAATGGGGGCGGGGCAACCATCATTTACGGGCCTACTACACTTTAACTTCGATAGCTGAAAATATTTAGAGTAAAACGTCTGTCTTTCAAATTGCTATCATCCACAATCTCCCGGGGGTTTCACCCTCTGGTTACCCACTATGCTTTGCCCTGAGCTTACTAGGAGCCTCAAGGTAGCCCCGGACCTTCTGCTTAAATTCTATACACATGCCACCGAGAATGCAATTTTCAATTATTATATTTTACATAGCATGCTTATGAACTTGTATAACTGCGAGTAACAATCTGATTAAAATCATATTTTTGTTACGCTCCGAAATTTTGATGGTTGCTTTGTATAACGATTATCAGAACAAAAATCTTATTTTAATCAGATTGGTACGAGTAAGGAGTAATTTCTTTATTCAACGCATAAACTTAGATATTGCTAACATTCCTATCGAAGCCCTGTGCTGAGGTTTGTAAATGTTGATATACGTTATCCAAACAATTTTTTTCTCCTCAACCCCACTCCCTTTCAAAAATTTCTGGATCTTTTGTGGTGCAAATACACATTTCAGTCAGTATTTATTTTCTGCATGAGTCTGGATTTATTATTTAGTATTACATTAGTATGTATTGAAGGAAATCTATTCATTATTGCTAGCGCTCTCGAGCAACTACGTTAGTCTATATTTCTGGAATACGCATGCTCGACTTCACGGTCGGGCATTCTGGGAAAACTATTGTAGATAGACTGTGCGATAACAATTTCGTTTTGTAATACAAATATAGATATGATCAGAATTTACACTAGCCTTTCCTGTCTGGTATGTGCGATATACATTTCTTACGTTAGAGACAGGCAATACCAGTCTAGATCCGGATTCTGAATTTTTTTTTATTTATTGTGTAACCTACACATAATAAAAGTAGAAGAAAAACTTAGATCATATAATGCCAAGATTCTAGACATCTAGCTTTCCTCACAGTTATACCACCTTCCTTGATAATTTCGGCAAGCTCGGAAAAAAATCTTTTCAGAGTATGTCGGAAAGACATGTCACTCTAGTTTTTTTCGTCCGAAAATACATATGATCTGAAGTTTCGTGTTTTGTTGTCTATCCTGCACGTAAATGAACAAAAAGTAACAGTTACTTGGGTCTTATAAAACGAAGACTGTTATTTCTAAAATTGTAATGAATACCTAGCTTTTCTAATCTACCTTCATTGATTTTTCCGGCAAGTTCGGAAAATACCGCCGCAACCTCGGATATGTTTACCGAGCTTGTCGGAAAGTTCCGAGAAGATGCGATTGCTAAAAATCAGTACCACACTGGAATATTTTAAACTAGGTGCTCATTGGTTCTACTGACCTTTTTTCACTTCCAAACTGAAATTACAGTAGAATACAGAATGCTTAAGCACAGTTAGGAGTTACGCCATTGCCGACGTGAAGCCCACTCTTAGAGTAACCATTCTGAATTATGACCCCCCCCCCCCGACTCAACCCCCCAGTGCTCCAATGTGCCTTCTTATTAATAATTAATCGATTCAGCAAATTTAACAAATGGTTCAGATATCTTCTGTATTTTATTATGCTACAGCGCTAGCTCACCAATCTTTTTAAAAGATAAGCTTGTTTTACTATTACATTAGTATGTATTGAAGGAAATCTATTCGCTAAATTTAGCCTCTGATTTTCCAATGCTTTAGATAGTGCTCTACTTTCACTTCGGCAAATAAGTAAAATCGATTAAAGATTTGTTAAATAATCACCATTGAATGTTTCATTTATAGTCTTTGTTATTGAGAAGTTAATATGACGAGGATGATTTAGAAGAAAAGAAATCTTGCCTCAATATATGCAGTTTCATTAAATGTCAGGTTTTCAAATAATGTATACATTAGCGTAATATATATGTTGTTTCGTTTTGAAAATTTTAATCAAAATAATCTAATTTATCATTAACTAGAGAGAAAGCGACATAAAAAGTTTTACAATTAAATACAAAGGTAGAAAGTTGTATGAAAAACGGTCATAAAAATAAACAGAATATAATCTTTGCCAAAGAAATAAAAATAAAAATAACATGACATACAATTAGCAAAACTTTAAGCAAACTTCTGTTAAGAGAATGATCTTTATATAGAGATGATACTGTGGTGTAATATTGGGTAGGTCCGATTGGATTGGGTTATCCTGTTTACATTATACCCCAGTTCAGACACTTGACTTACCCTTTTACTCATGTAACTCGCCAAGTTATTATCATGAAATGATTTGCTAAGTTATATATAGTATACTATTTCATTTGAATATATTCATTTCAACGTAAATTCTGATGTTCATTAGTAGATACGGAAAGCAAATAAAACTACTAAAAATGAATTATACCAAACTAATCAAGAAAATCAATTTGAAAATTTAACTGCATTTGGATACACTTTTAATATCTAAGTCAGTAATATTTTATCCTCGTGTATCGATAACAAATCAAGCTTGTTAAATCCAGTGGGACCATGATTGGGAAACTCACACACACGAAAAATAAAAAATGGGAAAAAAATCCAAGATTAGTAATTAGTTCAAAATCTGCAAATGAAAGCAATAGAAGTCAATGTCTAACATGTTTTGAATTTAAATTACAATTAATGAGATTCTGATAGATTATTGAATTCAGCCCGAGTCTGTTCACGGTCCCCTGGTCCGAGGCCATGTACTAGTATTATATGTGATACAGATTTGTACATGGATATATGTAATATGTAATATAAAGCATGCGCATGTACAATTGTCAATAGTCAATTATGTCATAAATGGTGACCAGTCTAAAAATAACCAAAAAGTTTTTACCAACTGAACGAAACTCTAAGAGAAAATCTAGGTGATTTTAATAACGTTCCATATTTGAATGTTAAATATAATCTATAATTTGTTAAAATTTATTTGATAACAATTTGATGACCAAATTCTTTTCATAAATCCACATCTTTTATTAAACCTTCCTGTTTAAACTTTGATGATCTACTTTCGTTTTACATAGAGACACCAATTAATTGCTTTTTGTGCTAAATAAAACGTAATTCATTCCAACAGATTTACAAGTATTAAATATGAACCATAATTGATTGAAATCGATTAAAATAAAAACATTTACTGCTATTTCAGCAATGATTTGTTAA